GCTCCTTGCTGCCATGATGATTATGATGTACTATTGGAGGTTTTGGGAACCCTGGGCAAATGCTATGTTAGCAATCCTGTTGCCAAAACTCTGGTTTGGATTGAAAATCATGACTGGCACAACTGTTTTTGCATGTCTTCCTGGGGCCACCCTTACTGGACCCAAAAAAGCTTCAAAACGAACAGTTTTACATAATAGATTGAATAAGGAAAAAACTCCTGGTCGATGTTGCCAATCTGGCTCCTTGCTGCCATGATGATTATGATGTACTATTGGAGGTTTTGGGAACCCTGGGCAAATGCTATGTTAGCAATCCTGTTGCCAAAACTCTGGTTTGGATTGAAAATCATGACTGGCACAACTGTTTTTGCATGTCTTCCTGGGGCTCACCCTTACTGGACCCAAAAAAGCTTCAAAACGAACAGTTTTACATAATAGATTGAATAAGGAAAAAACTCCTGGTCGATGTTGCCAATCTGGCTCCTTGCTGCCATGATGATTATGATGTACTATTGGAGGTTTTGGGAACCCTGGGCAAATGCTATGTTAGCAATCCTGTTGCCAAAACTCTGGTTTGGATTGAAAATCATGACTGGCACAGCTGTTTTTGCATGTCTTCCTGGGGCTCACCCTTACTGGACCCAAAAAAGCTTCAAAACGAACAGTTTTACATAATAGACTGAACAAGGAAACAATGTGCCATGGGGATGATGTGCCTTTTCCCGCCTGATGTGACTTAAGTGCGGCGCTCGTATGTGCTTAACATAGCATCTCCAGAACTTTGCCAGGTCGAATAAATGGAATGAGCTATGGGGAAACAATGAGCACCTAACATAGCAGCTGTACAACATGTCCAAGAACAAGTTTTCATAGTGCCGTGAGGGGTATGGAGATGTTTTCTGATTTTTTCTGAGCAAAATCGATGCTAACATAGCATTTCTGCCTTCCAGGATTCTAGCTAGGTCAGTCTCTTTCAGGTGCCAGGTTAGCACCCATCGCAGGTTTTTGATCTCCATTTCCTGGGGAATGCACAAATTATTCCCACAACGGCGCCGGATGCTATGTTAATGAGTTGGTGCCCAACGGGCCCAAAATCTACCTATCTCCTTTTCCCCAGGCCGCACAACGGTACCGGATGCTATGTTAATGAGCCGGTGCCAGAGCTGATCTATGCTATGTTAAATTTCGTGGGTGTACATATACATACATGATCATACATGTATAGGCTTGTGTGTGCGCTGAAGCATCCATGTGTATGCATGAGCGGTCTTGAGTCTCGACCTGTGCATCCACAGATCTGTCTGCCTATCTATCTACCCACTAACGACCCACCTATCTTTCATCTAATATCTATCTACTGTATCTACCTCTCCCCAGGCCTACACATTCATCCATCAATATCGATTCTCAATGATTCGCACCTATGTCCGTGCAAGCGTCGGGACTGCTCCAGGTTCGTGGCTTCCAGCTGTTTGACCTGCAGCGAGTCACTGCCCTGCAAAACCTCCAAGAAGAAAGGCTGGCACAGTGCAACATCAGGAAAGAGTGGGTGCCATCCTTGTGGCATTGGTTGATGCACAATTGCGTCGGACTTCTTTGCTGTTCACTCCACATTGAGCCCGCCAGAGAAGATCCTTTGCAGCCAGGAATCCTGAAGATTTGTCGCGGAAGCCCTCAGGCCGTGGCCGGAACCCGCACTGGCACCCAACGGGTCAGGATGTCAGTTGGGTGTTTGATGTTTCAGAGGGACTATGATTGAGCCACCAGCCCAACTTTGCTTGAATTATGTAGCACACACCCTTTGACCGTTGAGCAAAGTATCACCTTTGCCAATGGTGGCCTGCCACGATTTGTGGCAAGTTCCTTGTCCTATTTCATCCTTTTTCCCTCCAACCTTCCTGCTGCAACCCTCACCGTTTGCACCTTAGAACCTTGTCATTGAATATTCCGATGGGAACTGTGCCCACTAATGTAGTAAACAATCGGAAAAAAGATAGAGGATGCTAGAAGGCATGTTCAAACAATTTTCGAATCTGATATCCCGAAGGATCCATGAAAAAATGAAAAATGGCGGGCTGAAGGCACACACTTGCCCCCGAAAGTTTGATGCTTGCTTCTGCACTGGTATGTCAAGGTGGGTACATAGCTGCAATGGTTCCTGGCTCCCGGACTCCTTTCGCAACTCCTCTGCTTTTTCTTGTCCTTCAATCCTGTGTCGACTGCGTCGGTGGCTGAGTGATGAATCAAAGACTGATCGTAGAGCCTGAGATCATAAATGAGGAACAAGTGGGTGCCTCTTCGATGTAGAGCCCCCAAGACAAATGCCAAAGACCAAAGATTTTGTGTAAAAGGGTCTGGCCAGCTTACAGGGGACTCCAATCAAGGGATATCAAGGGCCTGTCTGCTGCAAATGCTGCCATAGGTGTTTTTCAGAGCCCCAGAAAGGTCCCAAAAGGTGTCAGAGGTTCCAAAATGTTCCAAACCCCCCAATCTTTCTTTGACCAGGAATTCTAAGGCCACCATGCTGGGAAACCCTCACGCCAGGTCGTTGCGCTGCTTCTCCAGCAGGGCCACCTGCAGGCGATTCGCCCATTGCTACATCACCAGAAAGTCAGGTGATGCAACTAACCACCCGACGGTTCACTGAGGATTCTGCGTGGTAGGAAATATCATTAAGATATTTATACTAGTTTATACCATTTAAATCTATTTAATGTTTTATATTTTTGAGTCAGAGTGTATGATTTGTATCTATAGATTATTGGTTAGACGGTTAGACCGAAATCCGAAGCAGTCCTTCCAGGGTATCTCGGGCCTGGTCTCTGTGGATGGTGCTTTGTGCTTCACCTGGCCATGGAGGCCTCTATGATTTGGACCGCCCGGAGGCCGCATCAAATCATCAGAAACTGATGATGGTTTTGAGCACCAATTCTAGGGTTTCCCGTGGATTTCGTCTCAAATGAATCCAATGAATTATCAGAAACTTGTCATGTATGATTGAAACTATGTGTTTTGGGCCAGACCCAAATTTTAGAAACACCTTTATGTGTTTTGTATTGTCTATACACACACCGATATATATATATATATATGCACCATTATGCACCATGATAACAAGAATACATGGGGAAGGACGTCCGGTGACTGTCCCATTGGCTCTCCAAATGTGGCTGGACAGCTAAAGCCCAATCAGTGTGACGCCTCTAGAAGGGAAATTGTGTGAAAGCTTGTGATATTTCAATTAAATAAATAATCGAGCTATTCCTACCAAAGTGTTCCAAGGTTGGCGAACCCAAGCCCCTGATCCCTCTCTTAGAAATCTCTCTCTCTATCACTCTTTCCATTGACATCTTAAAGAGTTCAACAGAAGCTGAGGGGGAGCATGAGCAGCTTCTTGTGTCAACTATGTAATCTAATGATAATAATTGCTATGATTAGCCATGTAATGGAAAGCTTGCCAAGTGCCCTAATATCTGCTTTGGTCTAAGAGCCCCAACGCTATATAGATTCATGCTCCATAGCCATCCAAGGTCAGGCACAGTTGTTTGACCTCTTCACCAACCTTCCCTGGCACAGTGGCTCCCCCACGTTGGCGTGCTGCGTCTTGTGCTTCATCCCTTAGGCGAGCCTCAGCATACTTACAGTACAACATCGGGAATTGGCCAAGAGTGTCGCTAGCCATCTTAGTTAGGCTCAAATTCAAACAATGGATGAAAGTTCGGGCTTAGCGGCTAGGCTATTTCAGGAGTTCTGATACACTCAGAGGACTCTGGGACACCATGCATAAAAGTTTCGAGACAGGCTATTGTAATATCTGAAAGTCTGAGATGTGCATGAACAAAAATAGGTCGTTGATGGGTATGGCACTTGCACCTACTCAAACATTGCGGGTTGAGCCCAGCTCAAATTGGAAAGTAATTATCCGCTCTTTTAGACTCCTGAATTAAACATCTGGATAACCGAAATGGCATGAACTGGCGATGTGCGATATCCAGTACCAAAACGCCTGGGGGATCCCAAGCTCTTAGGGCATCTTTGGTATCCAAGCTCTTAGGGGGTGGAAAATAAATTGCACTTCATCCCAAGATCCCACGACTCTCACCCCGCTTCCACAGGGCCTCAGCATTCTCCTCAGCAGAAAAAGAAAAATGACAGTGGTGCCATCCAATGGGGATGGGCATCACATGTGATGCTCCGCAAGCCCTCAAGTTCACAACTTGGCGGTGCCATTTTCATGCCCATGTTGAGGGCTTCAACTCATCACAAGCTGTTCTTTGAATAACATCACGGCATCAAAAACGACCGAAACCTGTTTGTTAAGCGAGACCTTAGGTCAAAGAGGCAAGTCTTCCCTCTACCTGGCAAATCGAAAACCCCTGTTTTATGGATAATTTCACTGTCAGACATTGTGTTTGTTACCAGATTTGCTCGACCAAAGAGCATTAAACTTAAACTGCCTTATCTTTGTGCAGAGTCATGCCTTTTTTGCGCCGCACGCCGCATGTTGTGCAAAGCCACTCAGGCTGCTAAACTGCTGACCCCAGCAGCGGCAGGAAGGGATCAGTGTTGTTGAGCTACTACAGTTACTACAGTACCAAACCCCACAACCCAATTGTTTGATACTACTCATGTCAAAAGAAGTGCCGAAACTCCCTTTCGTGACCTAGGCATCCCAGTTTCGAATGAGACTGAAGAATAACTTCATGTTTTCCCACATCAGTTGCATCACCTTCCATCCCAATTGGGGACAGCAGCGGCGCGGTGGAAGAGGGAAGGCGCCAACTCCAGGCCACCCGAAGTGCCAGCGTTGGTTTCATGGAGTGACCGGGGGTGTGCTTGTGCTTCCAGCTCCAGCTATTGAACCAAATAATAACGAGGAAATCTTGAGAATGGAGGATGGCTTCGGATCCTTGAGGATGCTTGGGACATCTTGGGACATTGAAACTCCAGCCAAGTACTTGCAATTTCTTGCAATTGGTTCGCCAAGTGACACCTTCCGCTCACTCCTGCGTGGCCAGCTGGGTTCCCGGGTCGACAGGCTCGTAATAGTCCTGCACGGCACTAAGTTTCTCAAGGCTGATTCCAAAGAAGAAACTCGCCAACATGATCCTACATTGTAGGCATAGTATGAAACCATATGAAACCTGTCTAGAGGTTTCGGTCTTTCCACGGCCCACTATATAAGTGTAACCATTCCCTGCACGGTCTGTCCTTTTGCTTGGCTTTTCTTGTGACCTTGTCCACGGTCCACACTGTTTTTGTGGGAGTCGACATCTTTTTCTGGATCTCCCTGACAGGGCAGCGCACAGGGCTTGCACAGGCTGGAGCTGACATATGCTGCCATGCAGCTGCTCCTTGCAGCTTATGTTTCAAGCCCAACACTGCACAAATCCCATGGCCGGCTGCTGCCAAAAGGCCCAACTTTTTGATTCATCTCGTAGATCAAGGAGCCGATGGTATCTTCTCCTTCCTGATTTCGGATGTCCCGCATCATCGCCTCATCAGCCAAGTTTAGGTGCCAAGGAAAATCAATGTCATGGGGATCCAACCTGCACAACCAACCCCCCCAAAAGCTCCAAAGGTGACTCCAATCAGATGGTCAACAACCATCTCCGATCACTGGTTGCTTAGTTTAACTTAGTTTACTTAACTATCCAATTTGGTATCCTTTGAAAGCCAATTTGGCATCCTTTCGATTATCGATTTTGGTGCCGAGATCTCCATTGCCGAGATCTGCCGAGTCACCATGGCATCCTCAATGACCGTCCAGTTCTCGGTGACCCGAGCGTTGGATTGCTGGGTAAAGGCCTGCACTTCGTTGAGCTCGTATTCGTTACTCCAATGTGTTTTAAACGGACGTTTTTGTTGATGTGTTTTTAACATCCATTGATTTTATAACGGTTTATCGTTTATCACCGTTTAATATCTTTTATCTATATCTGCATGGTCTTCAACTCAACTGAATTTCAAGAAAGTCCACTTCAGGCAGTCATTCAGCCTTTCAGCCCTATAGACTATATATATACATATATATATATACATATATATATATATATATATACATATATATATACTATATACATATGCGCTTACACCGATATGAACAAATAAAGAATGAATAAATGTTGGTTCCCTTGTGCGCACATTTGTGCTCGTCTGATTGATTAATCGGATTGATTCAGGGAACCCAAGAATGTGCCAGAACATAGCTGGCGGCAGCTGGCATGGCTGACCGTTTAATGCAAATCGATACCAACACATTTGCCGGCCTGAGGAGTATCTTCTAACTGCTTCATGCGTGACATGGTATCCTGCAGCCAGGTGATGAAATGTCATCAACAACAATTATAGCCCTGAAATGGGAACCGATTTCGTAGGGGTTTTGGCTGAAAGCAAGATGCTGGATGAGAAACCGCAAGTGTGCAAGCGAAAAAAGTGAAGAATTTGGGCCCTCAGGAAAAGCAACTGCTGCGGAATCTTGCGAGAGACATCAGAATGCCAAGAACCATCGCCATGATTCTGCACCGATGATCCGCACCTGATAGGCCAAAACGGCCTTGGCCATGGCTTGGCCCTTCACATCGCCCGCCGTGGCAAAAAGTTCCACTGACTGTTCGCTGAAGGGCCTGAGATCCCTGGGGGGTCTGTAGAGGTGTAGGGATTGGCTGTCAAGTGGTTTGAGATTTCGAGACGCCGGGCCTGTCACTTTTCCCTATTTTTGATTGGGTCATCTATCATCATCTATCCATATCATCCGTCTATCTGGTCTACCATCCAACGGAAATCCCAGCGTTGGATCCCCAAAAAGGATGAAAAAGGCACCAAGTGGCAAGCCCTCGTCCGGCGAAAGCTCGGCGCAGTGGGTGTGCGCCAAGGTTTGTAGCGCATAGCCCTGGCCGCAGGCTGCCTCCTGTGATGGATCTGTGAGCCACTGGCGTCTGTCAGTACCAGACTTGCACAATCTCCCCAGTGAATAAGAAAAAATGATAAAAATGGTGGAATTGTGATGATGGCTTGGGGTGCTGACCCCATCCCAAAGCTATCAGCTAGTTGGGAAGGATGGAAACAAATAATGTTTGCTAGCACAAACCAGATCCTCGGGACAACAAATGTGCCTTCCTTCTTTTCCGATTTGTCTGATGTCTCTCGGATGGAATGAGGCCGCAGACATCCCAGGTCTAAGATTCAGTAACTGGGCCTGGGTATGAAGTCCATAAAAATATAGATGATGCCTTTATATATCTCAAGACGCAAGGACAAACTACCCACATCCACCAACCCCCCAAACACTTCTGTATAGACCGAGGTCCTTGGGCGACATCTTAGCCTCGCAGTGATCGAAGATGACTGGAAATCATTCGAAAATCCACTGAGAGAGAGGGAATAATTATATGTAGCTATGGTTGTATGTATGTATGTATGTATGCATGCATGCATGCATGCATGCATGCATATGCATATGTATGCCTGTATGTATGTATGTATGTATGTATGTATGTATGCATGCATGGATGTATGTATGTATGTATGTATGTATGTATGTATGTATGTATGTATGTATGTATGTATGTATGTATGTATGTATGCCTGTATGTATGTATGTATGCATGCATGCATGCATGCATGTATGTATACATCTATCTATCTATCTATCTATCTATCTATCTATCTTATCTTATCTATCTATCTATCTAATCTATCTATTTATCTATTTATCTATCTATCTATCTATCTATCTATCAAATCCATCTATCAAATCCATCTATCAAATCTATCTATCTATCTATCTATCTATCTATCTATCTATCTATCTATCATCTATCTATCTATCTATCTATCTATCTGTCCATCCATCCATCCACCCACCCACCCATCCATCCATCCGTCCATCCATCCCTGTCTGTCTGTCTGTCTGTCTGTCTATCTATCTATCTATCTCTCTCTCTCTCTATCCATACACACACGCATGTTAAAGTGCCATCTTAAACATGCCCGGCAAACATTTGCCAATCCACAGGACCTTGCCCCTGTCACTGCCTGCTGGTAGTATTTCAAAGCTTCTTGCGCCACTTCTTTGGCTTCGGACAGCTCTCCAATGGAGAAGTGTACCTCCGCGCTGGGCTTTTGTGGCTGTGGCGGCCGCGATTCCACATTGCCAGAAGAAAATCAGACCCCCAGGCATGCAAACTCACCGGCCTTGGCTTGACCATGCAGGCCATCCGCAATCGCCTCCAAACCGCTTTCGGGGCAGGTCGGAAATGGTCAACATTCAAACATTTAAAAGACCAAAGCACCCAAGCGGGGCGTTGCCAAAATTTAGGCACCTCGCCAATTCAATTCCCAAACTTGAACTAATGTGTATATGTATATATATATATACTAAAATAGCCAAAAAATGCCACAATCTGCCATAGGGGCCCCCGTGCCTCCCACTTTGATCTGCGCACATATTGCCATAAGCTTTCCATCCCAGATCGCTAGGCTTGGTGCATCAGCCCCTTCAACCCAGTTGACCGCCTTCTTGTCCTCCTCCTCTTCGCTGATGTCGTTGCCCCTAAACCTGCCCCGCTGGAGGCTGACTCTTGAATGGCCAGGATACCATGACTCTGACCCCTACCCCCTCATTTCCACTTCCAACACCGCCTTACTTCCAACACCCAGAACTCACTCCCAACACCCAAACGTGACTCACTTCCAGCGCAAAACGCTGGTTTTGGCATCGGGAGCGAGACAATTTCAATAATTACCATAGGAACTCAGGTGTGACCATACATAACAATACCTTGGAGGTTGTTTGAGAGAGTGGGGAGGTATCCTTCTACTTACATAATTACTGGCATCAGCCATTTCGGGTCGTAAACGACTCAGCCACACACACAGATCGCACTCAGCGGCGCACACAGCCAAAACTCAGCCACGCATGCAGAACAAACTCATCCACACACGCAGAATCAACTCAGCCACGCACACAGGTCCAGGACAGCCACGCACACAAATCTACCTCATCCACCCACACAGATTATACTCAGCCATACACACAAAGAAAAGTCAGCCACACACACACAGACCTTTATATGTTGCATTTAATGTAAGAAGAGCCACGACACCTTTATATAGGGTTTATCTATATATATATACACATGTTGTTGCACATTGCACTTAATGTAAAAAGAGCCACGACACCTTTAGGGTTTTTATGTTGTCGCAAGTAATGTAACACAGGACAATTCACCTTTAGGGTTTGTATGTTGCGCACTTAATGTAAGAAGAGCCACGACACCTTTAGGGTTTATATGTTGTTACACTTAATGTAAGAAGAGCCACAACATCTTTAGAGACTTTATGTTGTTGCAAGTAATGTAACCAGGGACATGACACCTTTAGGGTTTATATGTTGTTGCAATTATATAATGTAAGAAGAGCCACGACATCTTTAGGGTTTATATATTGTTTGGCTGCTTGTCATTATCACAGCGGCACCCAGCGATAGGGAACATGATGATGATTATGGTGATGATAATGATAATGATGATGATGGAATGAAGAGATAAAGAGGTGAAGAGATGAAGACATGAAGCGATGAAGAGATGAAGAGATGAAGGTGATGAAGCTGAGGATGATGATGATGATGATGATGATGATGAGATGAAGAGATGAAGAGATGAAGGTGATGAAGGTGATGAAGGTGGTGATGATGATGATGATGATGATGATGGTGATGATGATGATGATGGTGATGATGGTGATGATGGTGATGATGATGGTGATGATGATGGTGATGATGATGGTGATGATGATGGTGATGATGATGGTGATGGTGGTGATGAGGATGATGAGGATGATGAGGATGATGAGGATGATGAGGATGATGAGGATGATGAGGATGATGAGGATGATGAGGATGATGAGGATGATGAGGATGAGGATAATATGACAGTGCCACGCGGCGTCGGGAGCGAAACCGTTTCCGGCGTTGCAAGCGAGTCAAAACCCGGCGTCGGGAGTCGGGAGCGAGGTGCCGACCCTGGCTTGACCCTTGCTGACTCATGTGGCAAATGGCTGTTGTTTTAATCCAATTCAGCAGCCACGCCAGCAATTCAACATCACAGCAGCTGGTGAAGGAAAATTATCCTGACTCCTGACACGCATCTATTCCATTCTATTCCAGCTATGCTTTTAGTGCCTGCATTATTTGCATGCTTACATTAACTTACAACAGCTATAGCTCTAAGTGTTGCATGGTTGATGTTCCTGTAGCTCCAGAATGCCAGATCTTCCAACACCTTCTTGGCCAAGCGGCAGCCACAACACGTCCTTCGCCGCAAACAGCGCATCCACGGCGTCTGCCTCGTGAAGCCTCCAGGCAGTGAGGTGGGTATGGCTCACAAACGAACCAGTGAGTTACGCAGAAGAGGTTTGGTCCGGACCTATTGCGAAGGTATACTACTTTGGCACGGTGTATAGGCAACGTGTTTTTTTAGGGTATGGATCAAGGGTATGGGTCATATCATGTCCCTTAGAGATGCATCATCGTGGGTATGAATCGGGGCTATGGATTGCCTGTGGGTCCAGGGTATGGATCGGGGTCTTACTTTTGAGCTGCAGCCAGGTGCCTGCGTCTTGAAACCACATCAAAGTAAAGATCTATATCATGCAATAGACGTGTCAGCATTAAGCGTACATCCGAAACTGTTCAATCTTGATGGATGTCTGAGTTGAGAACCTTTTTGGGGAAGGCCACGTCTTGGCCTTTAGATCCACTCCTCTCTAAAACACAGATCGTTGATAGAGCTTGTCCAGAGGGGCTGCGTCTGTGATCGTTGAGACTTTCCAGGATGCAGTGACGAGATGAATTCCTGAACAATACTGAACAAAAAGGCCGATCACGTCCATAGCGTCTGATCCACCCACTCCTGACCCCACACTATGTCAGCCAGGCCGCATGTTGGCACTGAGAATCAGGTTCAGTGCTCTGGCCTGCTGCATTCGAAGGGGTTGCTGGTCCGGAGGGCCGCTAAGCCCTTGGAGAACTTGGTGAGACAACTCTAGACTCTAGACACACAGGAGGTTGAACAGAGACAGACGGGTACCCTCTGACTGCTTCACTTGCCACCTATATGGCAAAATCTCAACTCTATTTCCATCCATTTCTGTCTATTTCATTCCGTTTCCAACCCAGCACTTAGAAATCTATTGAGGGAATCAAGCTGCCATTGCTTCCATATTCTCTCCATGCCTCACCATAAGGATCTTCCAAGTCCTGCGTGTGTCGCTGTGGCACTGGGGGCATTCTATGAAAAAGTTCCATCTTTTTCGAGGGGGCCTCAGCAGAGTGGAATCCTTGTTGCCAAGGAAAGTGGTGTTGCAGTGGGCTGGGGAGAAAGTGGCAACAGGACAATTCTCAAACCAAAACCCAATTTTCTAACATTTTCAAACCCTTGCAGCGCTTGCACCTTTCAAAAACTTTCAAAAACTGCAGGTGCCTGGAAGATGTCTCGAGCCTCACGGGCCACGTTCTTCGCCTGACTCGTTCTGATCGTTCTAAGGCCCTAGCAGGCCCTAGCCAGACATGCCAAACCAGGGTCATTTCGGTGCACCGCATGAGGCAACCCAGCCTCATCAACTTCGTCCTTTGCCAGCATCAGCTCCCCCACCTGCACTGGTTGAAGAGTGTTGAAGCGGACTGATTGACAGGAGACATCTCAACCCAAGCTGCCCAAAAGTCTATCTGCTAATCCGTGCAAAACATATCCCAAAAAAAAACAGAAAATCGCACCGCATTCGTGACTGAGCCCCTAGCGAGGGTCAAGCAAGCAGCCTCTGACCTGCAAATACATCAACAAACCGCCAAGTTTCAAGGAACCTTCTGCGGAATCTAAGATGTCGCACAAAGAAAGCAAAAGGAGAACAAAAAATGACTTCCGACTTCCGCCATCCCCTGCGTACAACTTCACGGCCGAGCAGCTTTCTGTCATCAATGTCGCTGTAGATGCAACCTGACTTCTCACTGGGACTAGGCACCAGTTCTGCTCAACCGAAGATGGCTACCTTTCAATCCGGTAAGGGGCTCACTTTGGGCACAAATGGGATCACTTTAGGCATAAACGGGGTTTCTTTAGGGTTGCTTTGGGGTTTTTCTTTAGGGTTTCTTTAGGGTTGCTTAGGGTTTCTTTAGGGTTGCTTGGGTTTTTCTTTAGGGTTTCTTTAGGGGTTTATTAGTGTTTAGGTTCTAGGGTTTAGGGATCCAGACCCAGCACCTTTGATCCCTGAGCCCTCCACGGCGGATAAGTTTCCACTTTACGCCCAAAGCGAACCCCAATTTACGTCCGAAGCGAAACCAAATTTACGCTCCAAGCGAGCCAAAATTTACACCCGAAGCGACGCCCTTTCAATCCTATGACCTGCAGCCAAGGGGCACGCAGCGCGTGCAGACGAAATGCCTGCTTTGGCTTCTTCCTCCTGTCGCTTTTTCACCGCCTGGTGTTCATCATGGATGATCCTTCCATCTACATTCTCCCTTGGTAAATGCAGGCACCAACTATAGGACGGTTCCATGAACCGACAGGGGAAAGGCAGCAAATAATTGGTGGTGGTAGATGGACATTGTAGCCGCCTTTCACAACCAAAGCCCACTGCAGCTGACTTGGAGATTCGAGAATAGTCCTTTCCTAGGTTGGAGATTCTGAGATGTTTGAGCATCCGACTTGCATACTAGGCCTATATAACTGGCACAGGACTTTCAGAAGGCAACCCCGCAACCCCCAGAATGCACTAATTGTTCTTGGCCTGCAGATTAGCATATTAATCAGATTAGCTTAGCAACTTTGGACAAGCCCAACTCATCCAGCCTTGACCTTCTCCTCCTTGTCCTGATGCCGCTCCGGTGAAGAAAAGTTGGTGTTTTTGCGTGTTGAATGTGCAGTTGTCCAATGGGGCGGGCACGAATGCAATTGTAGGAAATGATGTTCAGGGGTAGCTCCTCACCCCAGAAAACTACGAGATGTTGCGAGCATTCTGGTGCGCTTCAGTGCCCGACGATGCTGAAATTGTGCGACACACTGATGTACTTTCAAAATCTTTCAGAGTTGTATATATATATATAAGTTATATAAGTACACTACGCTCCACCGCAACTCCGATCAAACCAGGTCCTCTGCAAGTTGCAACCTGCAGCTGCGTGGATTCGGCTTCTGTGGCTTCAGGTGGGCCAACATGCAACCAAACCACCCGGTGCGCACACAAAACTCACAACCTGAATTGGATTGTGTTTAACAGTGTTTAACTGGTGCGGGGTCGTAGTGCGGCTCAAATGACAAACACATAAATGCGGTGGCCTAGCTTTGCTTTGAATCACCGCTAAGACGATCACTAAGTTGATATTTGGCTATGTCCGTCTGCAAAGGGGGGCAGGCGCAGTGGAACTATCTGAAAGACTCAAAGTTGTCGAAAAACTGACTGTACCCAACAAACGCAGAGAGATCTCAAAAAAAAACACCAAAACATCATTCAAAAACACATACAGATCATACAGTAAATGCCAGAATACCATCCAGCCCTGGGTGTTTCAAACATGGAATTATACCCATCCCATCCACATCCACATCAGCTCGAGTCACTGTGGACTGCTCCCAGCCATAGCCCTCAGTAGCCGCGCGCTGCTCTGACAGCAGAGGGCTGCAGCTTCGCCAGGCCTGCGCTCAGAATGGGGGATATGGGTGGATGGCTTGGATGGCTTGGCGGAACCAGAAATAGGGCATACACGGTGTATACACGGTGCATACATGATGTAGACACGGTGTATACGCCCTGAAAGTTATTCGAAAATCCTGGCAGCCCCAGACTGTCTAAAAGACTCAGGCTGTGGCTTGTTCTTCTGACTCTTGAAGAGTTCTTCACTGGCCACAGCAGCTTTCAGTGCTTTCGCCGAATCCTGCCAATGACGACAACGATCTGTTGAAGGCTCACACTATCCAAATCTGCTCGTCACCCAGCGGGCCACCCCCCAATGCGCAGAGCGCAGTCCATCAGTTCAATGTGAGCGTAGCCTGCTAAAAGCTGAGCGTAGGCCTTCGAGGCACCATGGCATCATGGCGAAGTTCTGTCAATGATGAAAAAGCTGTTCTCTCCATAACATCCGTATGACTGATAGTCAGGAGGCTAGTGTCTATTGTTGATTATTGTCCATCCACTTTTTTCCTTTCGCACATCAAATGACGCGAACGTGTTTATTGGGATAGGTCCTGTATCCGCAAACAAATCAGAGGTCTTCACTGAGTAGAAACTCTTCTCCTGCCTGGCCCACACCATTGCCATCGCTGGCGAACTGGTGGAGCCTGATGGATAATCATCCCAAGGCAAGTTGGGGAAAGTACAGTAGATCCGAACCGGGAAGTGTTTGAGTATCCGCCAACAGGATCCAACACGTGGTTCCCTACAACTTCGCCAATGTATACAGTCCATTCTGGGATAGCCCACAATGTGACCTTTCGAAGCTGGATAGAGGCCTCTGGATTCATTCACGGCACCAACATGACAGCTATAACTGAATACAAAAAAGATACAAAAAAGATATTGAAATAAAACTCAAGCTCCCACACAATACCACATTGGTTCACCAAATTTGCCAACAACTTCCCCCAAGTGGGCGGCTCCTCCCGGACTCCTCCCTCTCAGCCAAGGTGCGACTCCCTAGCTGCCCAAGCACAGCGTCCAGCTGCATCTTTGCCGATGGCCAGCGCTGTTAGGGGGATCACTGGGTTGAAGCGAAGCCTCGCTGCCAGCAGTGTAAAATCACAAGTGAAAATAGATGCTGTATGGGGTGTCTTCCCAAACATTATTTATTATAAATTATATTCACGATTATTTTGAACGTATTTCTGATCAGTGCCAACTACCTCACAAGGCACCTCACCAATTACCGAGAACCAATAGAGAACTTGTAGTATTCTTGCAAAAACTACCAGAAGGAGGAAAAACAAACAAGCATACCATATTATGGGTAGGAAATTGTTTAGGTGTTTTTTTTTTGTTTAGGTGTTTTTTGAATTCCTGGCCGTGCCTATTTTCCATGCTACTTGCAGCATTAGGGAGCTGGAACCTTCCACTTTGAATGCCATTTGCAACATTTTGGAGCTGGAACCTTTCATTTTGCATGCTATGCACAGCATTTTAAATCTAGAACCTTCCATGTTGATCCATTTTGCATACTATTTGCAGCATTTTATAGTTGGAGCTTTCCTTTTTGCATGCCATGTGCGGTATTTTGCAGCTGCAACCTTCCATTTTGTTTGCTAGCTGTAACATTTGGAAGCTATAACCTTCCATTGTGTTTGCCAGTTGCAAGATTTGGGAGCCAGAACCTTCGATTTTGCATGACATGTGCATATCTATATATATATATACATATATATATATATATAGATATAGATATAGATATAGATATATATTGCAACATTTCGGAGCTGGAATCTCCCATTTGGCATGCTATTTTCCAGTTGTTGATAGTTGTTGGTTGTTGGTTGTTGTCCATTAGTCGTGGTTTTTGTTGTTTTATTAATTATTCTTGTTGCGGCTGTAGCTGTTGTAGTTGCTGTAGCTGTTGCCTTTGTAGCTACAGTTGTAGTTGCAATTTTAATAGTAGTTTCTTGTTGTTGTTCCTGTTGTAGTTGTTGTTGGGGGTGGTGTAGCTGGAGGAACACACCAACAACTGATGTTGTGGTCTTTGTTTGGGTGTAGGCCGTGCTTGTGATTTCCTTTCGCTTGTGGCTTTGGTTGCGGTGAACAGGTGAACACAAACAAAACCATGAAGTCAAGAAGCTCGTAAAGCTTTGCAAAGCCAAGAAGAAAGGCCAAAAAGCAGAGAAATAAACAGAGTTTGCGTGGTATTTGCAATATATTCAGCATTCTGCAACGTTAACCTGCATGGTGGAGATAGGACCTCTGATTTTGCATCGCATCTGCGACGTTTGGAAGATAGACCCGTTCATGTCGCATGGTGTTTGCAGGATTTGCTACAGTAATGATATTTGGATCATTTTTGAACTTCAACCTTCCATTTTGCATTGCGACTTCCCATTTTGGTCAATATTGAAACATTGTGAAACCTTAACTTCTTAACCAGTTCATTTACGCCATGGTCTTGACACCAACGCAAAGAAACCAAAAAATTGCAAAAACGAAAGCACGCAACAACAAAATAGGAACAGCTGGAGGGGGGATTGGGGGCGCAGCGCCTCCCCCCCAAAGAACACAGAGACAACTTCGGTTGTGTTGGTTGTGTTCCTCCTTTGCCGTTGTAGTTGCTCTTGTTTCTCTTGCTGTTCTTGTTGCTCTTGTTGTTTTGCTGCGGTTGTTGTTCTCGTTGTTCCTTTTGTATTTGCTGCTCTTGCTGTTTGCTGGTGCTGTTCTTCATGTACTTGTAGCTGCACTTGTAATCAAGTAGAACAACAAAGAAGCAAGTAGATAAAAAGCAACAAAAGCAAAAAGATACAAGGCAAAGAACAAAAAACAGAGAAACAAAAAACGGAGAAGCAGAAAAACAGAGAAGCAAAAAAAGCAGAGAAGCAAACAAAGAAGTGTAGAAGCAAAAAAGAAAAAGGAAGCAAAACTACAGAGAAGCAGAAAGGCAGAAAAGCAAAAAAAAGCAGAAAAGCGCAGAAGCAAAAAAAAGCAGAGAAGCAAAAAAGCAGAAAAGAAAAAAAAAAAACGAAAAGCAGCACGGTAGAGAGGAGGGAGGAATCCAAAAAAAGATCCCTAAACTAAAAGAATGCCACAATAAATGGCCCTCCCCAGATTATCTTAAGCAGCATGTGCTGATTTTGGGGTGGAAGACCCACTGGGCCACCCCTGCGATGCTTCGACGCGGCGCCGTGCCACCACCGACAGGGTCTGCACGGCCAGGGGCATGGCTTCAGCGCCTGCGGATCCGCGGTGACACGTTTGGGTCATCTGAGCTATGAATAGATATGAAGCCCTTCACTTTTTCGGATCATCTTCAGGGGTGATGCCAATGAGCCCCCAAAAAAATGGGAGTCTTGTGGCTCTAGTGTGTCCGGTGAAACCCACGGAATTCCACCAGCCTTCGCTATTGGCCACCAAATTCTGTATGGGTTTGAGGACCGGCTCCACATCCTGCAAGTAGGCAGAAACAGAAAGGCGTGGGCACCTTACTGGTATGTCCTGGGCCTACGCCGCTTTTGGCCCCACCGGTCTTCTATTGTTTTTTTGGCAGTCTCATGTATCTGTCAACTGAGCATTTAAAAAACACAAGTTCGGAAATGTAGCTAGAGTGCCTGACATGGGTGCGCCCTGCTTTCCGGACCCATGGGTGTGACCAGTTTTCGGTCCTCAATCATGGCGAAGGCTGATTATTCCACCAAACCCAAAAATCCAGCCGTCCTGCATGCCATCAGCCAGTTGAGCACAGAGATGCACCGCCACACGCGCCACATGCAGCTGGTGGTCGCTCGGAGCCTCTGCAAATAGACTATCCAAAAATGTGGGCAGGGTTACCCCCGATAAACATCTTCGAAACCAATTTTTACGGCGTTCGTTTGCTGTTGGATTTTAGCGGGCCCTTTAGGAGAGTAGCCTTCGCCAGGGTGATCTTCCCATGAATTGAAAATACTTAAAAGCCAAGGTATTACAGACATTAGTAAATCTCCAGATAATCTTTCACGATCTAACCACCCATGCGGGATGATCACTATGCAAGCATGTATCATCTATTTACCAATCTATCCATCAATCCATGCATGATAATTACATGTATATGAGTGTGCGTGTGCGTAATAAAATAATAATAATAATAAAATAAGAATAATAAAATAAGAATAATAATAACAATAAGAAAAATACTATAATAATAGAGTAATAATAACAATAATAACAATAATAATAACAATATAATACATATATATATAATATAATATATATATACATCATCTATTGCTTGCTTGGCCTCCCCCATGACCGTAGTCTGAGGTCGGCAGCACCTGCCAGGTCACAGCGATGTTGAACCATCCGACCCAAAATAGGGCGGCACACACCGACAATTTTCAAACTTATTCTTGTTCAAAGGCCATGATTTTCTCGCACTGATTCCAAGGTTGACCCTCCACGATTCATGGCGATAAATTCAGTCATAGTCATTGAAATTCAAATTGCAGAAAGTAGCTGCTCACATTCTGGCTCTTCAGAGTACTGTCGCAACAACTGGCGACCAGCCTTCAACGAGGCCGCAGGCGCCCCAAGGGCGGGCTTGGGCCAGGACACGGTTTCCGATGGAAATGCCGCCACCCTCGGACCCTGGATTTAAATGTTACCTGGTCCGCGACAAAATGAAAGCCGTTATAAGTTATATTGAGAAGAAAAGAACATCAGCGTTGAACTATGGGAAGGATCAAGTAATTTGTGGTAATTTTTGCTTACAGGTTCTTGGCAACAATCGATCAAACCATATCAAACCACTAAAACTACTCATTGCACGCGTTCTGATCGCTTTTGGACTGACCGCTGCTTCCCCCGCTTTTGCTGCCAGCAGCGCGTGTTGAGACTGCTTCTCATTGTCCTATCCTGCCAGGTCCAGAAGCTGGGGCTGGAGGCCGCGTATAGAAACGCCCAACAAAGGATGATCTACAACAGTGATCAACATTGATCAACAACGTTCGAAACGTTCTTTGTGACTCATTTAAAACGAAAACTTAGCAGTCAGCCATTCCAGCCACATTCGCTTCTGGCTTCCCCCTAGATAAATCTAGAGAAGTTGGTGACTATCAGAGTATCAGACATAGCCCAGGTTTTGCCAAAGTGTCCAAACCTTGCTCGCAGTGGTTGGATTCCTCTTCGGACCGGTTGAGATGAGATGCCCAACATTGACAGCAGAAGCTGTCCTTTAGGCGGAGTTCTTGGGTCTAAAGCCTTCAGAGCCGGTCCAGTCCTTGTAGTCCTAAGTTTATCTGACCCCTTGCAGCAGTTTCGGCCTCTGCGCCATCACCGTTGATCCTAACTTCCATGGCCAAAGGCCGGGGCGCTCAAGATCCCTGCCCGTGGGGTTTGACTTGCCAATCCCTTGAATGTATTGGAAATCATATGCAATCGTGTTCTGGAAACGTGACCCTGTGCCTCTTTTGCAATATATATTGTTTTGACTGGCCCCCATGAGGACACATCCAAACACGTCGCATCTCCTGTATTTGAGGTCAAACGGGCTTGTGGAGACAGCGCAGGGTGAAGCTCTGGAAGAGAAAATATGTAGCAAAGGCACTAGCTTCATACTAAACTGACCCAGCTATCCTACACTTGCTCGTGCGAAAGCATATGGTGCTGGATTGCAGCAAAATCCGCACTTCTTGCACAATTATAGTCGGGAAAGTGGAACGATTTGCTAATCCACCTGATCTGGTTTGTAGTTTCATCCCATCCGGAAAAAATGTAAATTCAGTTCATCAAGCAAATAGAATGGAGCATGGTTGTCGGAAAATCTGAAGCCGACGACCAGTGACTGGTCTCCCATCTTTGCATTCCTCGCTGAGTTTGCGGCCAACTTGGTTCCATATTCTTTCTCAAGACGTTGCATCTCAGGGTGCAAAAGGTCTTTGTGAAGAGTCTTGTGACATGTCGGTAGCCGGGCAAGCTTCACCCGTTTCCACGCGAATCCCCTCCCCAAAACATTCAATACCTACAGCTGCTATTTAGTATTGGTGGGAACGGGTTACACCCTCTTGCGTTGCATTTCGTTTCATTGAATTTTGCTAGCCTTTCGGTCTATTCATGGATTTCTTGCGACCAAGTGCACTCTCTCTTAATTTCTGAGGAAGAGACATCTACCTTGGCCTTTTGCAAGAGTGCCTGGGAATACCATGAGACTAGCATGACAAACGCATTTGTCAACGGGAGATAATGGGAGCACACGGTCTTTATGGGAATCTGGTGAGCTCTGGAGATACGTGGGCAGTCGCCACCACATCTTATGCATGATTGGAAGAGTCTGAATCATCCATCAGAATTCATGATCCATCATGTTCCATCAGATATAACTACGTCAAGTAAGTAATGCTTCAGGATGATGGTAATTCCCAGTAAACAATAGGTTATCATGGATTTTTATTGCCGACACAATCATCAAATGTTGGATCCTGCATGATCCGCCTCCTGCATCTGCGCCTGTTGAGCTTCGGCCTCGGACAGCAGCTGGTGATCCCTTTGACCAAAACTCATCTCAGAGATGTCGCACATGGAGATGGAAACGGAGATGGAAATTGATGGATTGCCTGCCGTAGTTGGAAGTTATATCCATATTCATTCGATGGCCAGCATCTTGGGCAAGCTGGAAACCATGGAAACCTAGATATGAAGGTGTGAACGACTACCTTCTAGCATCGACCCACCCTGCAAAGTGACGCTGAGATTTCTCACGTCCTTACCGCCAGCCTGACAAGTGCCATGAGAAGTACTTCATGGACCATCTGGAAGTTTCCGCCTTCAAAATGATGTCCATAATTAATTAGTCTATGTAACGGTTTTGACTCGTTGTCACAGGCATCGGTGAATGAAAAATGTTGAAACAGATAGCTAATGTGCCGATATGCGGCGTGAAATTGCAGGTATCTGGAGCAGCTGTGGTCCCCAAACAAACCCGCCTCGCCAATCCGCTTCACTTCCTATTCGCGGCAACTGCTTGCACCAGAACGGAACGGCTGATCAGAATTTGATGATAAGTACTTTTCTAGGTAGCCAACGGGAGTAGTACCACCACCTACGAGTATGAACAGCCATGACAAGTGAGACAAGATTTCCCAGCTGCTCAATTGGCAACATCTTGGTGCAATCCAGCAATCGTGGAGAGAAAGTTTGAGGAGTGGTAGCACCTAGGCAGAGAGAGAGAGAGAGAGAATTTGAAATTATGTATGCATGCATGCATGCATGTATGCATGCATGGATGTATGCATGCACGCGTGCATGTATGTACATATATTTATATACATACATAAATTATGTAATACCAGTAGTACCGCACAAGGCGGTGGCGGAAGTTTCAAAAATAGGAAACCTATAGGAGAGCTTGGTTGTTGTCAATCACGAATGGCAGAGCGAATCCGCTGATGGACCGTAAGGTGGTTGGAGTTGTGTTTTTTGAAGTGGCTGCAATGGTTGCAGTGGTCACCTCTTCCACAACTGCTTGATGTAGTGTGGTCTGGCGTAGCACAGTTGTAGTTGTAGTTGTGGTGTAGGGTAGTGGACCTGTAGTTGTTGTGTAGTGTAATTAGTGTGTGTGTGTTGTAGTTGCAGTTGTAGTTGTGGTGTGGTGTAATTAGCGTAGTGCAATGTAGTGTAGTGTAGACTGTAGTGTTGTGTAGTGTAGTGTTGTGTACTGTAGTGTGGTATAGTGTGGTGTAGCCTAGTGGTGTGTAGTGTGAAGTAGCGTAGTTGTAGTTGTAGCTGCCGTCGTAGTTGTAGTGTAGTATGGTGTAATTAGTGCAGTGTAGCCTGGGGTAGTTGTAGTTGTAGTTGTAGTGTTGTGTAATGTATTGTAGTTGTAATGCCGTTGTAGTTGTAGTGTAACTGTAGCGTAGAGCTGTAGCGTACTGTAGTGCATTGTAAATAGTGTAGTGTAGCGTAGTGCAATGTAGTGTAGTTGTAGCTGAAGTTGTAGCTGTATTTGTAGTAGTTGCTGTTGTAGTTGTAGTGGGGTGTAATGAGTGTAGCGTAATGTAGTGTAGTGTGGCGTACTGTGTGTTGTGCACTGTAGTGTAGTATAGTGTAGTGTAGCCTAGTGTAGTGTAGTGTACAGTAGTGTAGTTGTAGCTGTAGTTGTGGTGTGCTGTGTAGTGTAATTAGTGTAGCGTAGTGAAATGTAGTCTAGTGTAATGTAGTCTAGTGTAATGTAGTGTAGTTGTAGTTGGAGGTGTGGCTGCATTTGTGGTAGCAGTTGCAGTTGTATTGTAAGTAGTGTAATGTACTGTAATTAGCGTAGTGTAGTGCAATTAGCGTAGTGTAATGTAATCTGTGTAGTGTAACGTAGCGTAGCATTTTTGCACATGTATTTGTAGTTGTAGTTGTAGAAGTAGTGTCGTTGCAGTGGTCGTTGTAGTTGTCTATCTATCTGTCTATCTGGAAGCTTGAAAACGAAGCTATTCTGCGAGACTCCCTCAGTTTTTGAACTTGACAACATCAAAAACGCAGCACTTCACCGAGACGTCCTCAATTTTTGAACTTGGCAACGTCAAAAACGAAGCAATTCTGCGAGACTTCCTCATTTTTTATATTTTTTAAAGTTGACAACATCAAAAACGAAGCAATTCTGCGAGACGTCCTTCAAAAATCGAAAGTTGAGTGCAGAGCTGACGGCCTCGTACCAATGCGTTTTGCGATTTTTCCACTCCATCTGTCTAAATTACTGCGCCTGCCACGAAAAAGTGACGCCAGGTCATACGAAGTGCTGCACCTGTCACGCAAAATCATCTCAGCAAACCTGAAGATCTGATGCTCCAAAATGCAACCTCTCTCAGGAAATCAGCGCCCGGACCTCCTAACAGCTCTGATGAACATATCTCTTGTACTGCGCCTGCCACGGAAAATGCATCTTTGCAGATCCTCTTCAAATGTCCCACGCCTGCCATCGTTTTTGGAAATGCTACAAAACCCTCACGCTTTGCTCACTTTTGACACGGTGCACAATCCCTTGCGCTTGCCACGCGAAACGACATCTGAACATCCAAAAGCGGTCCGAGCATGTGGTGCGTTTAACATGTTTACTTCGAAATGTGCTTCGCGCCACAACGGCGTGCACTTTTTCATCATCGCACCTTCGAAAAGTGGTCCGAACCCGTCAGTTTTTTACACTTTTGACTTCGAAATGCGTTTCGCGCCACAACGGCGTGCACTATTTCGACGTCGCAACTTCAAAAAGTGCTCCGAACGTGAGGTGCTTTTGGTTTTTTCACTTGCAAATGTGCTTCGCGCCACAACAGCGTGCACTTTTTCGACGTTGCAACTTCAAAAAGTGCTCCGAACGTGAAATGTTTTTAGCTTTTTCACTTGCAAATGTGCTTCGCGCCACAACGGCCTGCACTTTTTCGACATCTCAACGTCCAAAAGTGGTCTGAACCTGTCAGTTTTTTACACTTTTGACTTGGAAACGCGCTTCACGCCACAACGGCGCGCAATTTTTCATCTCTCATTTGGCCAGCTGGCTCCGCACCCGCCGCTTTACCGAGCCTACTTTTCGACCCTCCGGAGCCACACATCATTGGAAAAACATAGTGTTTCGCGGCTTTCCTACCTTTTCGGGCACCTGGATCTTCTTTCTTGTGAGACTTTCTCTTTTTGATTTTCTTTCTTCTTCTCTTCTCTTCTTTGACTCTTACAACCTTTGCTTTTCCATCTGTCCATATTGTCGGAAGTTTGACTTCTAAACTTCCTTCCACAGTGTGTGTGTGTGTGCGTGTGTAATGCTTTGCACCTTCTCTTTTGTCCCTCCGTTCTACCATCCCTGTCCTGCTCCATCGTTCTCTGCAGATTCTCTAGCTGTGCGCGGTCGGTGTGCCTTGGAGACATACGCTGGTGATGGGATAACTTCTCATTGAGAAAGGGAACTGTGCCCAAGAGGGGTGCGAGGCACCAAGAAACCGTGCACAAAGAATGTCCTTTTCAAAAAATTTTCTCTATGACATTGTAACCCTCAGACTCAGTATTGGCTACAGCTACTTTCTCCATAGTCATGGGACCTAAGTCTGCTCAGCAACAGCTGCTACTCTTTTTGACATTTTGTGTGTGGCCACGGTTTTACCAAAGCTTTCCCAGAGCTTACCTGGTCTTCCATTGGTTCCTTTCTTCTCCAAAGAAGGCATAGCACGGCATAGCAGGAATTAGTTGGAGGCAGGGGTTACATTCTGGTTCATGCGTATGCTCAAAATCGATCCAATAATTTGACCGTTTGGTTCTACAACTGATCAACTTTGCGGGCCCATTGGCACCCCTGTTGAGGTGTGCATATACATACACATACTTCCCTCACAATACCAAACCGCCGTAGCCCAAAATCGAACACATCCATTTCCCCGTTTTCACTTTCAGAGAATAAGATACAGCTGACTGACAATTGGCCATACCTTTTTTCCTGTGCTAAGAAGCCTGCACCATAGCGCTGGCAGGTAACGCGGCTGGCGATTGGTGGCCAGTTGCGGTATGTCTCAGTGATGATCCAATGGTGAGGATCAAAACCAAGGTGGCGCCCCACTCTTTGCACCTTTGATATTTGAGACCAAAGATCCTTTGTGGACAGAAATGTGATTATCACGAACAATGGTGGCGCCACCGCCAAAATCACGAGGAATCCCTCTTCCCGGGGTGGTCTACTCTAGATTCTGCATTTGCTCAGAGTATCTCAGAGTTCTTCCTTCTTCACCTCAGCAAAGCAGTCCCAAAACAGTGGGGCCTCCTGGCACGTCCGTAGCATCAAAAATGCACAATCTCAACATCCCTGAGGGATGCAGAAGTTGTTCCGATTTGCTCTGTGACAAGAACCATTGAATTTACAAACAATTTCAAAGATACAGGAGCTCCCTTATACATTGTCGACTCGACCAGGTGATGGCTTGAAGTCATGCATATCTGAAATATGAAAATCATTCGCACAGATGCTCTCAGATTTCCGCCCCAAACTGAGAACGCTCATTGTGCACCACAGGCCCTGCCCCACCTTTACCAGCCCTTGGAATCACTTGCGCATCACTGTCAACTGCCGCCCAGTGGCGGTTTTCCTGTAGGCCTTCACCGCCTTCATGAGGCCCAAGCCGCTCTCCTTGATCTCCGTCTTCTTCTCAGACAGGGCCTTTTCAGACTCCTCCAACAAAACTTATAAGAGTGTTGAGGGGCACGGCAGCAATGCGATACGTGTCAACGATTGCCGGTTTAGCAGAAAAGAACCCCACTGCTGCCTTGCATTCCACTTGTCCGCTCGAGCGCTCAGTCCTCGTACTGCTTCTGCAGACTCTCCACAAACTCCTCGTGTTTTTTCACAGCTGCTGCAATCTCCTCGTCCTTTCCTTCAATCTCCTGCACTGCGGTGGATTGTACCCACTTCCCATGCATTTACCTGACACCTGCTACTGGAGCATGTAGGGGGTCCCACTATTCCCAGACTTTTGCCTTCTTCAGGCTCGCAGGAGCCATGTTCATGAACTCTTCAATCTTCTTCTTCTTGTCCTGGGCACCCACTCACAGACCCGCGACAAGGAATCACCATCATGGTGGCGAGGCTGCATTGACTTGAGATGCCAGAGTCTTATCCATTCATTGCTTGTCTATTCATAGATTGAACGCAAAACAAAGATCTTCAAACTCTCAAACTCCATTGAAATCACACCATCTTCATGACCAAATTATATAATTAGGAAACTGAGAAAACTGTTGCTTCCTCAAACTTTGATCCTGGGTCAAACCGTGCAGGCAGCCTTTGTATGTCAGAACAGGACCCGTCCAGTTGGACAAGCATCCTGCACCACTTCAAAAGTATCCAGCAATAGCAGCTATATTCAATAAATTTCAAGAATATCTATCCGATGATCCATATTTATCCTAATTGCTCACACGTGTCCAGCACTGAAGCAACACGGCTCCCTGACTTGCCAAGCATCGGCATCACAAAGATCCAAGTTGGCAGGACCGCACCTGTGCAAAAGATCCCGAGAATGGTCAAAGTGGGGATGATCAGCCAGGTGATACGGGGTCTTTGACACAGGAGCCACTAGAGTGAAAATCGGTGTTGGACTCAGACCTGCCCCTCCCCTTCCTAAAGCAGGAGCAACTCCAGCTAGCTACGGCTAACTTTCGTGACTTTCTCCCTGGCACCTGGGGCCCAAGTTGTCCTTGGCAAACTTGGCCAAGTCATCGAACTCGCGTTCTCCCTCGTAGTCCTCCAGGTTGGCAGGGTCGCCGAACTTGATGGTCGGGAAGCCCTCCACTCCCACATCATCACCTGGCAAAGCAGATTGGAGGCCGTGAGGATGAACATCATCCAGAGATACTGAAAGTTAGAAAAAAAAACTACTGGTAAAAAATGCCCCCATGGCCTTATGGCCTCGAACACCAACAAACAAAACTGGGGCTCCGCACACATGGCCTTGCCATCCCCAATGCAGTCCTCTCAGCAACCAGCTCCGCATTAGTGAATCATTAGTGACACCACCCAAGCTCTCCCCTATAGTTTTGGAATAACAGGGATGCTGAAAATGCCATGCAACCTTCCAAACCCGCCATAACCAGCCATGGCTTCCATGCCAACAGCACCATACAGCACCTCACAGGCCATGTACCCCACCCCAGCGGCTCCACATCTGCGACCAGGATGGAGGCATGGCCATCATACTGCTTCATCAGTTTGTCCCACGCTGGCTTCATGGCCTTCCCGGTTGTGGACACTCAAAAGATGTTTCCAGGCGAGATTATGCGAGATTCTCCTGTTTTCTGACATGTTGCAGACGCGGAGATCCCCCACAGTGCCATGCGCCAACCCAACAGCAGCCTTGCAATGACCGCACCAAGGAGCAAAGAACTTCACAAAAACCTGGGTTTTGTTTTGTCAAATGAATTCAGACTGGGTTCGTCCTTGCTACTTCGATGGTTTGGTGGCAAGCTTCACATGGAAATCGACAATATAGGCTACTTGTCAGTCAACCCCAAAATCTGCAACTCTGTCGTGCTCAATGACTTGCATGGCTTTCCTATCTTTCCTACACTGAAACCCTCGCAGGAAATGGGTATAGGCAAAAAATCAGACCCTGGAGCCATACGTTTGATCTGTTGGATTAAAGGATCAAATTCAGGATTCACCATAAATTACCATACGAGTGTCGGCAGTGCCCTCCACGCTTCGGTTCCAACGATGCGGATCATCAATAGCATGTCAAATGGAGGCATATATTGAAATATGTGTGTGTGCATATGTCGAAATTAAAGATTCATTTATTATATGATCATTTATTCATCTACTACATGCTGTATCACACTGTAATTCATTGCCTGCGCTTGGTATCGCCGAGCTTCGCTCTTGCCAGCAGTCTTCTCATCCCAGGACTCCTGATATCATAAGGCAGTTTGATATGGGATATTAGCCGATGTACTGATATACCCCAGTAACATTTCGTATAGGGATGTATAGGGTATGAATTGCCGTTTCCTCGGATTTTCCACACCCATTCACACCTTGGTGAGCTCGAGAGCGTTGGCGGCCACCAGCAGGGTGACAATCGCAGTGAGCTTCATTGCTAGTGATGGGGAAATACGGGGAATGCTTTCGGGTTGGTAGCAGCTGCTCAGACTGGAGCCCCAAAGGTTGCGACCGAGTTTTGCGGCAAGAAATTGGCAGCTGGAATAGCTTTGGGGATGCTTGGGGAGACGAGGTAAAGTTGCAGCAAATAAGTTTCTAAGGATGCCAATGGCACAGGATCCAAAACTTAAAAAGCCACTCATGGATGCTAGTTGCCAAAACATGGCGCTCCTCCGCTGCACTCGGCTTGCTGATTTCGCTCAAACACGATCAGCGAATGGTTTGCTGCAGAGTGGCGACAAGTACACAGTGGGGGGTCTAGAAAGGAAGTACTGTTGAGAATTGAGAATAGAACATAACAATGGATATCTGAAAACTTACAATCAACTCGTCAATCGCATTCCGTGCGGTACCATTCTACTTTGCAGTAGAAGGATCTACTGGAGAATCAAAACATGAATCTTAACTGACATCTTGCCTGCTTGTCCACGAGTAGAAAGGGGACCGAAGTGCTTTATCTTGCCTTGTTGATTCCTACAGTATCCTACAGTATCTTACATAATTATCCAGGATGGCATGTCACGTCACATGTCTAGGTATGCAGGTAATGTGCGCAAATGTGATGCGTCCCATGCTTCGTTGCATCTATATAGTGTCAGCGTCATACACAATGCACCGCCTGCAAAACTAGCGTGATGCATGCGTTTGAGGAATGCAATTTATTGTACTCAGGGGTGCAGGAATGGAGGCAAGGATTCATAGATAGCTGTACTAGGCAGCAAATCCTTGTTCCACATGTGACGCACATACGTGCATGAAGATGGCTTACAAACCTTCACTTTTCAGGGGCCTCTATTCCACAACTAAGACCACTGTACCATCATTTTGTGATCCCTAAAAGGAATCCACTACGATATCTTACCACAGCTATCTGCAGAGCAATCCGGAATCGAACGTGAAAGTTTCGACCCCAAGGGAAAACAACATGTGTACTTGGCCTCACCTCGCGCGGGGAAGCTGTTTCGAGGTCAAAATGAGCTGCCCAGCATTGGGTGTGGCCTGGCACCCAATGCCAGCTGCCCTGGTGAAACACCCCAGGTCACATTTCTACGGGACTGCGAGGACAGGGGTTCCTTCTTGTTTCCAATATATAGCTTGGCGTAGGAAACAAAGGAATTCCGCTGTTCACAAATGGTTGGAGATTTGGTGGAAACGAACCGTTCTTTGTGGGCTCCGGTAGGTGTTGTCTCTTGTTGTCACTCTAAAAAAACGTTCTTGGCAATGTGCCCTAGAGGGACATTTGCCAAAGAATTAATGCAAATGTAAAGAAAAAATAACAGCCCAAAATCTCTACACAATGAGTAGCACAAGGCTCAAATATGAAACGAGGATCTCTCAGGGTACTAGTTCATCCACCCAACAAATGGATCTTGCCTTTGCCTTCCTCAACTTCCAAACATCATGATCCCCTAAGGCCCCGCCCATCCCAGTTCTGTACAAACCTGGCAGCTGGGAGCCCGCGTCAGCCGAAATGGTCATCGAAATGGCCGTCGTTTAGACAGTTGGGATGTAGAATTGATGCCGAATTGATGCTGAATTCCCAATTGATAAATGATGCCGCAATGCCTTAATAAAAAATTTGATGGAGAGTGATTTATATAACGATAAGAACAATAATGACAGCAATCGCAGTAATATGCGTCAAACAATGTTCAATAAGAATAATGACAACAATATCGAATCTGAAGACTGGGATGATGATATTGGTAAATTGATGATGATTCATTGATGAATCTGCTGAATTCTCAACGACTATCTCTGCAGGGCTGTACTCCCGTTGTTCTGCTCAGAACGAAGCCACACCTCGCTCGGAAAGTGGGTTGCGAAACCAAGCAATCTCGGATTTGTGTCTCGCAACGTGGCACAAAACTAAAAAAACAGCTATCAGGAGGAACGCATGTGTTTTTCATTGTCATGACATCTCACATCAAACATCATCAAACCAAATGGGGAACAGCACCCATACTTTCTCTCAACTCTCAACTGTTGAGGGTTGCCCTCTGTGTCGCATGCTTGTAGCACTACAAGGATGTGTGGCACGCAAAAGCGCAGATAATGCCAAGGGTTCGAGGCAATGATTGATTTGCATCCCCTGTTGCTGTGCAACAAATACTGAAAGAAGTGAGTATGACCAGGGCTGCTAGAGACAGGGAGTTGCAGGTCGGTGACTCAAGCCTGTCTCAACCTGCCGTGCAACAACAGGCTGCTGTTAGTTGTAGCCAAAACACTAAAGGAACTCCCACAGCCGCATTTGGAGTCTGCCAACTTGTTCTTCACCACAGAGAAAGATGCCCTGATCATCTCCTGCTGAAGCTATCAGATATGGCTGGCCCACCTCTTGGTTAGAAATGCCAACTCGCTCACAAATATCTGGAAATACATTGGAAGCTTGACATACCCGTCAGAGACGAGAATTTGTCTGCTTGTGTGTGTGTGCACAGATTCGAAGGTATGTGCCAGTAATGTCACACTAACAAATCCAGTTTACCAATATGGGGAGGGCCATTTTGGTAACATATGCTCACTTTTTGAGGGTACCCCCCAAATCAATTGACCAAGAGAGTTTCGTCATCCGGGGTTAACAACAAAAAAAGGTGAAAAAACGTTCAAGCCTTTCAACTATCAAACAATCAAACCTGCCAGCCACTCCGCCTCGGTGTAGTCAATCTCACAGTCTTCCAGGAAGGTCATTGACAGCTCGTCCACCATCAGACGTGCCCCTTCCTGCTGGATGACGATGTCATCCTCCTTTGGCTCAATGTCACCTGGACAACGAGGCAGAACTACCAAGCATACCTTCAGAGGTTCGCAAGACCAAGCTGGTGTTTGCAAGGTCCGAACCTCAAATGACCATGTGCCTGCCTGACTTGTGTCTCAATCTTTAAGGGTCATCATAGTCATCACAGTCATCATAACACCACTTTCTCCAGTCAAGCTGCCAGACTCCAATCCTTGGTCGCTGAGGCACATGTCATTCCAATGAATCCACCATTGTTTCTCCACGTGCAACACTGGACATCACTGGACCACATCTTCTTAGTTGCCAGTTCTTCCACATCGGCCAGGGCGCGGAATTCATAGGAATATCCAGAGCCTTAGACAGAAACGTTTGAGAGCAGGATATCTGCGTAGAAACGGAGCATACAATGCAATGCAACGGTCGTGTCCTTGCAATAGAAAACTTTGGGGTTTAGAAATTTCACATCTCTAGATTCCAATCGCACTAAGCGGCACTAACCACTGAAAACTCACCCTCTGAATATGAACATCCTCCACCCCACCTGTCGCCCCCACAGGTGGCTTCACAGCCACCACCATTCGAGGAACATCCACCGCTGTTCACTGTCAGCCTCAACACCTTGGTCAGTGCTACAGCTGTCCGGAAGAATATCCAGAGGATCCGAGGAGCCAAGTATTTTATACATAGCTGACATAGCTTATAACACACAGAGGGAAATGTGTGGAAAAGCCGAATGTCCCATTGATTTCTCTGCTTTTCTTCCTGCTTCCGCAAGGCTGCAGCTGCAGCTGCTTTTGGGCAGCTCAGCTGCGGGGTAGAACACAGCAGCTCAAGGTGGACAGGTTTTAAAAACCACCAGGAGGCTCGAAAATTTCGGGGATGTGAGATTCACCTAAATATAATTCAGATTCAGATGATAAAGAAATGTGTGATGATGGTATTTACGGTAGCATGTTTAACATATTGTTCGCCGCCGTGTGACCATCATCACTCTCCTCCCTCTCAATCGCCATCTCCAGGAGGGCTGCCAATGTTGCTCAACATGATTTATCATGCTTTCTCGTCAGTTAGTTGATGTTGGTTGAGAGGTGAGACTGGTGATGAGGGTCCTTGCATCACTTGCCCACCAAAAGCACTAGCAGCTGCAGCTGCGAAGGCATGGTACCTTCGTTTGAATTCTCAGGTGTCATCAGGTAAGGAAGGCAAGACATGAAAGAATACAGCTGGGTTCAGCTGGATGCTCTGTTTTGCTCCGAACTTTCAGCTCAGACCAAGGATGGCGGCTGCGGAGGAACAAATCGTTTCAGCAAGAGTGAGCTCCCAACCTGAGCCGACTGTCAAATGGACCCTGGCTCCATTGGGGTGTTGAGACGTGCGAGTCATGTGGCCAGCAAACTCCTAACTGCTTTTCTTCTGTGGGTGACACTTTCGGCTCTTCCCTTCCACCTAATGTTAAGGCCCGCTGCATGTAACCTTCGCGCCTCAGTATTTTGATACATCTATTTAAGCTGCAACAGTGGGCATTCCTGTCCATATAGCAAATTGCCGGCAGCTCTCCCCATCTCATTCCGTGACCACCAACCGTGACTCGGCGAGTGCCAAGTGGCAACAAACAGCGAGGAGCCCAACATCAAGACGCAAGCAATCTGGGGGTTGATGAGCCTCAGTTGGCCAGATGTTCCACTGTCTGCAAATATGAACATGATATATATATATACATATATATCTATCTATCTATCTATCTGTCTATCTATCTATATCTATATCTATAATTATCTATAGAATCTATATCTATATCTATATATCTCTATATATATATATACATCTCTATTAATCTACCTATCTACCAATCTACCTATCTACCTATCTACCAATCTACCTATCTACCTATCTACCTATCTATCTATCGATCTATCTATCCATCGATCTGTCTGTCTGTCTGTCTGTCTGTCTGTCGGTCGGTGTGTCTGTCTGTCTGTCGGTCGGTGTGTCTGTCTGTCTGTCTGTCTGTCTGTCTGTCTGTCTCTCTGTCTGTCTGTCGGTCTGTCTGTCTGTCTGTCTGTCTGTCTATTAATATAATGATGTGCGTATGTATGTATATCAGAACGATGTTTATTCAGATTGACCAGGTAGGAAATCCACACAAGCAGCTTTTACATTGGATGGATGTTGCCTTTGGCCCTTCCGTCTTGTATTCCACTGAATTTCAAGCAGGTGCATGCTCCTTGAGGAAAGGTCGAGTAACACACGATAGCGCCAGAAGATGCCCGCTGCCAGTGGAATAGAGCAGGCGTTGAATAGGAAAGCCCACCTCATCGTGCAGCTGTTGCTGGCTCTTGAGTTGCCAAGCTAAAGCGTCAACAACCTATGAGACCACACTCCAAATCCGGAACTTCCTCCAGCGACCCCTGGTTCCAAAAGTGCAGCCAACCGGCAAGAAGTTGAACCAAATCGTTCGAAGCGTCTCCTTCGCGAGGGCAAAGAAAGCCTTGGCAACGGGGCAGTTTCAATGAGGAGCTGTTTTTCTTAAAGGAAATCCTGTGAAAAAATGTCTCTCACTTCGGGGATAAGAGCGCAAACCGAAGCAACTACACCAGAGTTACACCCTGGCAAGGTGCCAGAAGGTCGCGCAAGTCATTTCGCACCAGGACGATATCCGCCGCATCGACTGTGACCTGAGAGGAGCAGAGTCAACGTGAGGTCATCTTCTGCATCTGTGTTGAGCCGAGTTGAGCCCAGTTCAGCAGATGCTTCCTCCGAGCCATAGCGAAGTCTCCCCTCAGAGCTTGTTTTGAAGCCTATTGCACTTGATCTGCCATGGAACCCTATGTAATATTGCAAATGTTGAAAATTTTGCAGTTCAACGATTCAACATCCATGTTTCGCTAGCCCTAGCAGCATCCCAAGCACTCTCCACACCCCGCATACGAAGCTAGGCGCATTCTGCCCCGCACCAATGGCCACACCCAAGTCTGCCGCAGCCAGTGCCGGAGCATCGTTGATGCCTGGGCTTCTATCCCTGCTGCGTGCTTTTGTCATTCCCATTCCTTACCGTGTGGTAATGTACAGTTACAAAGCTATGAAAATTACAATTTCTGATAGGTACATCATCATACATCATCTACAAATGGGCCATTTTTGATAGCCACATCAAATTACTACAGGGTATGGCAGGGATCTACAGGGTATGGGTTAGTATGGGTCACCTTTTTTTGGAGGTGCACCAGCGCAGAATCAGGGTGCCGTCGCCCACCATGGCAACAATGGCGCGCGTGGCAATTGCATCTCCTCCAGTGTGTCCGCTATTCCGCTATGCCATAGTGCACACCACAAGTTTCAGGAGTTCAAGACTTCGTTCGAGGAATCAAACTATACGTAGTTTCAAACCTTCTATGATTGACTTTTCAAACTTTCAAATTTCTTTGCAGTCCATTACGCTTGATTGCAGACCCACCCATCAAAAGCCCTCGCTCCTGGGGAGGCATTCTCTTGCAGGGATTTCACAACTCGCACCTTGTCCGCAGGTAGAGCTTGTGCTACCTAGGGTGGCCGCAGCGATGTGTTGCCATGTTGCACCACTCACATGCGACTGCCCCGAAGTGGACATTCATGGCCAATGGAACCCACCATGAACATGAATGGCCATGGCCATGGCCATGCTGATCTGTGAAAATCCCCACAACCCTAAAGAACCCCGGCCAAGGTGCCACACGGTCCTTGTCAATACCACAGTCCTTGGCTACAGCTTCTGCTGCAGCGCGGTGGTCCCCAGTGCACATCCACACCTGCGGCTGCGCAGGACTCCCGAATTGCCGTACCCTTGATGATCTTCTCATTTCAGCTACCGGAACGACTCAACTGATGAGAAGCTACCGTTTCTCGCTTCTGTTCAGAGGTGAGTTTGAGCATCTTGCCCGAACTGCGATCCATCTAGCTCTCGCAGTGATAAACTTCTGTACCTGCATAAGCAATCATAAGCATATAAAGATGTATACACACCTACACACTTTTATTAGTTATATATACAGTTTTACAGTTCTACAGAGCTATACATGTCGAACCTAGTTGAATCATGTTGAATCTCATCCGCACTAGTTCGCCCCACCTGCACTCCCGACATTTCCATCTGCGCCACACACGCACGCGCAAAAGGCGCCAACTTGTCACGAAGGGCCACAGCCCCCAGCGCCACATCATTCACCGACACAGCCACGACTGTGCTGCCGACGGACATCTGCGCCTTGGGCTATGTGGTGCCCCCTAAGTTGGTGACGGGGCGGGTTTTGTAGAGGAATCTTTTGGGGGTATGGTTCTCAATGTTCTCATTGGTTATCTGTAGATATCTGTAGTCTATAGTGGGGTTGTAAACCAGCTAATAACTGGGGGAAATAGAATGGGTTTCCATCTGCGCGGATAGGCATGAAATGCCCGGTTGCTAGAGAACCAGAAAGGGAGTATAGATGCGGCGTGAGCTTCTTCAAGCATCTCAACTTGACTTACGATTTTTTCTGAGTCAGAATTAGTGCCGTACATGGTGTCATTCCGCTAGATTTCTTCTGTGAGACTCCACTTTACCACAGTTTGTTTTTCATAGTTTCATGAACTTTCATCACTTTCATCTGCAAACTACCAGTATCCACCAGTCATGTCATTTTGGGCAACCCCTACCGGCCCTACCCAGCCCCTGCACCTCGGCCCATGCCACCAGTGAGTGGGGAGCCCGGCAGCCTCAGCCACGCCACCATCTCTCACATCGACGTGTTATAGTACGACGTTACTACGACTATGGCTGAAACATGGTGATATAGATTGATATATATTGATATATACAGATTGATATAGTCATAAAGACAGCATCACAGAAAGTTTCCAGCAACAACGAACTGGTGGAACTAAACTCATTCGATGACTCCAATCTAGGAAAGGAGTCTCCCACACCGATCCCGCGAGAGTGAACCCGTCTCCGGTTTGCCGTTTTGCCCCGGGAGTGGAAGGACGAGCCACTGGCTATATCATCCCCCCATTTTGCAGCATAGACACCTTTGGTGAAGATGTGGTGTGCTGAAGCAACTGCAACTTTGAGGTCGCCAGGCAGAACACAGTGCAGCCCAACACCCGTCCTCAAAGCTGGGGATTGGTTGGCATGGAGCTGGTTTGGCGAGTAATCTGGCACACTCAACTATGCGGCCCTTGTCTCTTCTGTGCCATGAAACGTTCCTGAACCTAAATGTTGTGAACTATTGAAGTCGATTCCGGACCCAAAATTCACCCTCCAACCTGGACCCAACTCCAAGGCTCATGTTCTCGAAGTTCGTGGGTTTGGCCAGCGGCACCCGCGCTTTCTGCTGGGCTACATCCATCAGCCTCAGCCAGAACCCATTGGTCCCACATCAGTCATCCATAACAATCATCCAGAGGTCTGGATGCCATGTGAAATACAAACTCCACAGCCCAGCCCCTGCTGCCATGTAGCTCCTTGGCCAGTGGGTGTTCACCTCAGATCCATGGGCAGCTGACCCCTGCCACAAGACCGGGAAACAACGAAACTGCGTGGGCCCAGTCACTCGAAATCTCGGCAGAACCCACGGCCCACCACAGCGCCTGCAGGAAATCTTGGCAGCTGCTGGCAACCAGCTGCCACTAAGTCTGCATACTTGATAAAAAGTAAGGCCTGAGGCCAGGTAGAATAGGTAAAACAATTCATAAACTTTCATTGGATTCTCCTTAACTCATCGCACTGAACCGGTCGGATCCCATGTCTCCCAGCGATGCCAGGGTAGCACCTTCTCAGCCTCTTGTCGAAGATTCTCACGAGCCAAAGAGGCTGAAGATCCTGGGAGGACGGAAGGATGGACACCCAGTCAAAGCCTCATGCAGGCGTAACTCAGAACAGTATAACAGTATAACGGAAAACTTACACAAAAACCATCACTGGGATAGCAATATCTGAACCTCTAATCACCAAGACTGCCCGTCACCCTCCCATGCCCAAAACACACTACGTCCTGGCATTGGAAGGCGCAACCTGCGACAGTGGATCACAATGTAATCAATTGCTGAAAAAATGTGAAAAAGGGGAAATAGAAGAGTCCACAAATTTGCGGGACAAAAAAAGAACTGCTTAAATAAATTGAACCCATTAGAACTATAATCTATTTATATAAACCTGTGGTTGTGGAAAACCTTGGTGCTCCTGCATTTTCCAGGTCGGCACCTTGCTTGCGCATCTTCAGACTCCGATGCAGTCGTCGAGGCCTCCGAATTGCAACTTGGACTCCTAGAGCGACTGCCATCTTCATCCTTAGGCATCTTAAGCAAAGGGAAAACAGGACAGAGGCGGTTGGGTCTCAAGGGCCCACTAGAGCAGAGCACCGGACCGGGAATCAATTTGAAGATGTTTGGAGATGTTTGGAGATCACAATTTTCTTAGGGTTTCTTAGGTACTCTAGCACAATCCAATGGGATAGGTCACTGGTTATCGTGCCAGCCAAACCCACCGCGAAGACGTTGGTCATTGGTCACCCCGATGTGCCGTTGCTTGGATCATGTCGGCTCACCCATTTGTATTGTTGGTTGCATCCCTATTACACATCATCAAACCATGTCAACCATGTTAAACCCCGATCATCCTCCATCCAGGTGTCTGGTGTGACCCACACCGTCGGCAACTCCACGTCCAGCACCAATTTCCGAGATGCAGCCAGTGCTGCTGCGTGCTGGCGGAAGGTACTCAGCAACTGCTGCCAGCCATGGTCCTGGTGGCCCAGTGGACCCACCGGGTGCGAGAATCATTGAATCACATGAGTCTTCATTTCAACATATTTCAACTGCAAGATCCGCAAGCTGGGAAATGATAGCGAGAATAACAATTGAACCCAATTTTCTTATCTTTTCTTCACATGCAGGTCGCAATGTCTCTAGGTCGCGCGATGAGCATCTGCTCTCCAAACAATCATTGACCTGTATATAACCTGGTCAACCCATGGCATGTAGAGATGTCGGGCGGGCCTTCAAGACTTTGGGTTTATCCGTTTATCCCTACTTCGGGGTTGTGACGGTTGTGATGCTTCTTTGGTTCTCTGTTGAATCGGGAAAACATCGATGGGGCTCAAGCACTTTCTTTTGCCAAAAGAGACGCCTCCAAGGCCCAGGGACACACAACGGCAGCTGAAACCTTGGCGAAGCAAGTTTGGCGCTGTTTCATGCGTACAGGGTCCCTTTGAAAAGCACTTGAGTCAGAATAGATAAGCCACATAAACATGCACAAACATGCACAAACTATATTCTAGAATCAATGGTGTTTTTTTATTACTCATTGCAGCGCTCCTCTGATATGCAATCGCCCAATCATCTCACCCTGGTTCAGCCCTCAGGCCCTCAGGTTCCGTTCGCCAAGCTGCTGCACTGGGACGTCCCACGGTCAAGGTGCCTGTCTTGTCCAAAACCACCGCCTTCACCCGGGAGCCCAGCTCCAGCGGCTCAGCGCCACTGCGAACCTCCAGGAGGGAACAGAATACAACGACAGGCACATCAATAGACATAACAAGTTGTAGCTACACCCGTGCACAGATAGATGGATTAGATTAGATTGGATTGGATTGGATTGGATTAGATTAGATTAGATTAGGGCAGATTCGATTCGATTCGATTAGGTTAGATAGATAGATAGATAGATAAGAATAGATAAGAATAGATAAGAATAGATCAGAATAGATCAGAATAGATCAGAATAGATAAGAATAGATACGAATAGATAAGAATAGATAAGAATAGATAAGAATAGATACGAATAGATACGAATAGATAAGAATAGATCAGAATAGATCAGAATAGATCAGAATAGATCAGAATAGATCAGAATAGATCAGAATAGATAAGAATAGATACGAATAGATCAGAATAGATCAGAATAGATAAGAATAGATACGAATAGATAAGAATAGATAAGAATAGATAAGAATAGATACGAATAGATACGAATAGATAAGAATAGATAAGAATAGATAAGAATAGATAAAAATAGATAAGAATAGATAAGAATAGATAGAAATAGAATAGAATAGAATAGATAAGATAAGATAGATAGATAGATAGAGCTACAGCTATAGGTTATAGTGTTGCCAAGTAGCCAGGATGCCACACTTAGCCGCCACCCCAGTGGCCGCCATCACAGCCGTAGGGGTGGCCAGGCCTAAGGCGCAGGGACAGGCGATCAGCAGAACGTTGAGGCCGTGCTCCAGCACGAAGAAGGCCTCCAGTGGACCCAGGTCCGGTCAGGCTGAGGCGAACTCAAGATGGAAAATCTTAGCCCATGTGGCCCATGTGTGCCCTTTGTTTCCAATCGGGCTGGATTTTCTTAACCTGTGTGAGCTTCCACTCAGGCTCATGTCAAGGAACTTGCAGCCGGCTGAAAACCAAGAGAAACGGTGGATTTGGGGGTTCCCAACTTGAAAATAACCCCAGTGGGTGGTTTGTCTTAGGAGTCAGATCACCCAAAGAAAAAAAGTCATTGCAGTGGTGGGGACGGATAGTGATGATGTTTTTGTCGCCTGGTAGGCTCTTTGGCCTGGAAACTTGTCAAATTAGACAATGCAGGCGAATAGCTGCGATCATCAGAGTGTCAGATGCCACTTTCAGACGGCCTGCAATGAACAACATGAAATCCTGATTGTCGTCGTGACGGTAAGTCTTTTCATGGACCTGGAACAGGGATGGAGAGTGACAATGCTGCTCCAGAAACTTCCTGTTCATCGTCACCGCTGCTTTCGTGGAACCACACGTTCAGGGATGTCAGAAAGTGTTCGACCGTGAAGGCGGTGTGCTTCATTTTTCGGAAGTTGCAGAGCCATTCAAACTTCTCGTCTTGGGTCACTGGAAAGCTGGAATAGCCATCAAACGTAAGCCAATCAATCTGCAAGCTGTCGTCCCAATGATCGTAACCACAAAAGGCCAAGCTTTCCAAGAACTCTTCCGTAGTGATGGGAGGTGGTGGTTCGCGGGGCAAAACAGTCAACGTAGTGACCTCTGGGGGAAGTTGTTCTGAATCCTCCAATTCTTTGGCGGAAAGCATTATCCACTGCAGCAGTGAAGGTAGGCCCAAAGGTTTTTGCAGAGCATCCTACACCATGGCCACGCTGGAGTCTGGAGCGACTTGGATTTTGATGATGTTCCCAGCCGTTGTGGGCCTCCAAGTCTCTGAACTCGTGTCTGGTTTTGTGGATCTTGGAGAGTGAGTTTTGTTTGAGGACTGCCAGAGAAGGGATGCGCGCTTCTGGGATCAAATACCCCTCGGCAAGAATAGTCGTGGCAGAATCGATTTCAACAGCCCTGACATGATCCCAGTTCATATTGTCCCACAATTCAATCAATTCCTCACAAATAATGACCTCATCCGGCGTTGGCACCTCCCCATCTTCCTAAGCAACAGCAAGTCCTCTGGAAGAACCGTAACCATCCGAATCCATGGCAACGAATGTGAAACAAATGCTATGTATGCCACTAACTGCAGTCAGGCTTGACTGTTGGTGAAAGTTGGTAGGTTGAAGTGTGTAATGATTTGACGGTTTGCTCTGTTCATGGTGTCTTTAGTGTTGCCCTGTTTGTGTGTTTGAGTGATTGTCTACATGTGGAAATTATTGTGTTGCGCGTGCTGCTTGGCTCCTTTCGGCTAAGAAGCACTTGTCTTTCAATAGCTTTCGTGGCATGCCCAAGGATTCCATAAAGGTCAAGAACTCCTACATTAGAACGTCACAAGCAGGAACACCCGTGCAATCATGCTACCAGTACAGTAGACACTGTGGCGGCTTTTGGACAGAAAACGACAGAAAACGACCGAAAAGGCTTTCCTCCGAATCTTCTCCCCTGAACTGCGCCTTGTCGAGTTCAGGCCATGAGCTCTTGCGACCGTCCAGGATTGAACTTAATGGAATCACCTTTCTGCAGGGCTGGTGAGCCAATGCGAAGTACACGAAGTCACTTTTGGAATAGTTCTGCGAAAAGTTGTAGGTTTTGATTCCACAGCTAAACATATCTAAACAATATCAATGTCGTGAACCTTGTTTTGCTTGGTTAATTGGTCATCTTTCTCGTGGACCTGAAACCATCTCCCTACGGTCCATCACTGCGGCAAAAAAAAAACTGGCAACACAACCACACCAAAAGCTGCAGTTGTTTTTTCCCTATTCCCATTTTTTTCATTGTCCATACTGTCCATACTGTCCATACTGTCCATACTGTCACTGTCCATACTCATCCCACAAATGTTTCCACATGGCTTCGATCCCACCTCCCAGGTGTACACGAGCAAGTACCAGGTCATCCACGTCAAGAAGCTCAAGGCCACGATGCTTGGGACGAAAATTCGTGCCACGGAATCCGCCACACGTTGCACTGGTGCCCGATTCAGCTGAGCGGTCTCAACGAGACTCATGATTTGGCTCAGCATCGTTTCGCTGCCCAACTTCTCCTTGGAACATCTTGGAACTGTGGTCAGGATTGTGCACATGGGCAGCCCCCTGACACACAAAATATGAAAAACAAAACAGATTGGTTTTGATTCGGGCATGATCTTAATGAAAAAGAAACTTGTCCAACTGGATCCTTTACTTCGTAGAATGATTGTGAATCTTATGTTCGCACCCACCGGTGCTTATCCTAGTTTACTTTGCTAGAATGAAAGGTGGTTTCCACCTGGTTAAATCCTGGTTATGGATGTTATGGCCTTCCTTGCCTAGCTCTTTCGACATTGGAGGAATATGGAGGAATGCCAAATCCCAAGGTACCCAATGAGAATTGGCTTCCAACACACGACTATAGTATCTACAGCAGCTGCCCCTGTCGACCATAGCTTCCGCCAAGTTGCCACTTGCATCTCCGTGCGCCCTGTCAAGCACTTTGACCCACCAATTATGACATCGCCTTTCTTCTTCCTCACTGGCCGAGACTCTCCTCAGAGAAATCATCGACTACGACACTCCAACCCCACACAGCCCAATCGAACCAGATACGATTGAAAATGGATGGCTATTTTTTTCGGGGAGGGAATTATTTTTTCCGTTTTTTTTGGCATTTGTTTTTGATTTCTGTTTCCCTGTTTCTTTCGTATTCTGCTTTGTGCTTCTCTGCTCTTCTTCCTTTCCCACTTCTCTGCTTCTTTGCTTTTCTGTTTCTTTGCTTGTCTGCTTCTTGACCGTTCTGCTTCTCTGTTGTTTGCTGCTTTTTTGCTTCTCAAACCTAAATAACCCCCAAGATGCACAATATAAATGCACCCTAAACCAACCCCAAACCAACCAAAAAAAACAAAGCAACTTTAAGCAGACCCTTGTTAACAAAACAAAAAATAGTAAAATCTGAAACTAACCCCAAACAAACCCTAAATAAACCCAAACTAGCACCCAAAAAAAACAAAAGGAACCGTAAGTAACCCCTAAACAAACCTCTGAAACTTACGCTAAATAAACCCTGGCCCTAAACCAACCCTACATAGCTCCTAAACCAAACCAAAATCAGCCCCAAACCAACCCGTAAAAATGATAAAACCATATAAAACCAACCATTAAGAAAACTAAACCAACCCAAAATAAACCCGGAAACAAACCTAAACAAACCCTAAATGGTCCTAGTCACAAAATACCAGCCAACATGAAAATTTTGTTCATCAAAATGTGGCAAATATCATGGGAAATGATAGGTTCGAACTCCAAAATGTTGCAATACCGTTGAAATGGCAGCTTCCAGCTCAAAAATGCTGCAAATTGCAAGGCAGAACAGCAGATTTAAAAGAATGGAAGGAGAAAAAGAAAACAATTCTGGACCCTTTTTGACACTCATTTTGAAACCATTTCGGAACCCATTTTGCCCCAACCCCCTCTGATGTGAGTCTGGGCACCTGTGAGCAGCGACTCGTCAAACTCTGCAAAACCACAGTTGGAGATCATGAGGCCATCTGCTGGGACCTTCCATGTTATTTTGTCCAAAATTGCTTTGGTCCCATAGTGTGCCGTTTGACTCTTGCTTGCAACAAATGGGCCGGACATACAAGTATCCGCTAGTAACCAACCAATTGAAGAAAGACATGATACAAAAGTCTGAGGTGATTATTGCTCTAAGATGTTTCAAGAGATTTCGATAGTATTTCTCCAAGTTCTTGGTGCAGTGCCTGTTCTCCAGGGAAAACCTGGAGCGTATCGCCAATCTGCAACAGCTGGGCAGGAAGATCTTCCACCTGAGAAGCTGGACCGGGTGCGCAGAAGCCACCCAAAGCCTCCATGTTGAGGGGAAATGTTATCGCAACAATATGCGACCGCATGCAAGACCAAGCGCTGGCTTCTCAGCCAACTGTTTCCAAGATGGTTTTTCACTCGATGTCAAACTTGTTGCCGTGAAACATGTGAAAAAGTTTCAGGCGCACCGCGCCTCATAGGATCCGTCCTCACCCATGAAGTGTGCCATATGTGGCCGCAGGGCCAAGAGCTGTTGTAGAGCTTCGGAGGCACCGCCACGTGCCCAGGCCTGGCAGTTGGCAGAAGGTGATGATTCTGTTGTGGTGGTGGCGGCGTCGTCGTCGTCGATTGGTCGATTCGTCGATTCGTCGTCATCGTCATCATCATCGTCGTCGTCGTCGTCGTCATCATCATCATCATCATCAGCAGGAGCATCATCGTCATCAGCAGGAGCATCATCAGCATCAGCATCAGCATCATCATGACAATGGTCAGGAAGTAATCACGATGACAAGAGGGCTATCCTGATGATGACATTCATGGCATGCTTCTACTTCGCAGCAAAAGAACTGAAACTGTTGTCCCTGAACCGCTACACTGCGCGGCAATAAGGCCATCCCCACAAGATTCATCAAGATTGTGCAGGGGACACCTTTCCCTACAGCAAACATGAATCCACTCTGCAGTGCGAAATTGCCCATCGTCCCATCCTTTCCCTCACCCGACAACCTCCAGGTACTTCCCCACAAGTATGATCGTGATCCTCAAAGCTTCAGAGCATTTTGCAACACAGGCCCCAATCACCCAAGAAGATTTTCCCCAACAAAAACTACCGTGAAAGAGTGAAAAGAAGCGAGCTAGCAGCTAGCTGCAGCGTGAAAAAAAAGTTTCCGAAGAGGAAAGACTTGAGAACCTAAACACTTCCCATGGCATACCTATTGGATTCCATGCATACCTGTTCACCTTCAAAATTCAGCAAGCTGGCGGATATAATATGTACATATATATATAACCAGTGGTGAAGTGCAAACTGACGTGGCAACAGGAACACAAATCCTAAACACGAATGTAGAGCAGGTCCGGTGGGGAATCTTCGATGGTTATTGGATGATATCCATCTGGAATCTTTCTGCCACAGCCGCCCACAAGCGCCCAGTCACACAAAGCATGGCGTCTCAAAGTAGGAGGGCGGTGGTGCCTTGCACTCCACGCCCAAGTGGGATGCCACGATCATGCAAAAAGTGACCTCAAAGTCAAAGCATAGACTAGACCATCATGGATACATGTCCCACCCGGAGAGAAGCAAATCCTGTCACTCCATCTATCTATTTTGAAGTGGTTCATATCTGGAATGGATTAAGTTGATGTCCCAGCTACAGCCATGCATGTCTGCAGTATACTAAATATTACCAGCTGCAAGACCAACTGCAGGGTTTCTGCAGGGTATTTCTTCACTGGGAAGGGAGGACCCGCAGCCAAGTCAGCAAGACATATTGCCTGGCGTGCGTGCTTTTTTTTCCGCGAGCACAATGGACCCCCAACAGTTGCTGCACATGTGCGAGTTGCCAGAGCATTGCTGGAGGGATTCAACAAAGACTGGATCAAAGAGAAAAGGCAAAGTTGGGAATCTGGAGCGGTACTGAATCGTTGGAACTGTAAAGTACTGTAAAGCCATAGATTGCATGTTGAATCAGTTGCGTGTCATATTTCATACATCAGCACAGTGTCATGTATGGTGGCTGACTTAGGCTTAGGGAAAGTGAAAGCATGAAAATGGACCTGGAAGGAATTTGGTCAAACAGGATTTGTCAAAGAAGAGACCATCTTATCCAGCACATGTGATGCTACAGCCACGAGAACTACAAGAGAATTTTCACTTCATGGCCGGATCCATCCAACACTGTTGCCAAATAATCAATTGACCACGGATTTGATCTCCCCCCCCCACACCAAAAAAAATGCAAGGGGGATCAACGAAAGCCCTGCACTTTCCACACCAGGTCAAAACATGTGTTTTGGTGATTTTGGTGGAAAAATTCAGCCCGTTGCTCCGCTGCAATCCAAGCAGCCATAAAGGAATATGTGAAGCACAAGGCCGTGCCGAGAGAGATCAGGACATTCATATCCCAAACTCCAGTCCTCAAGTTGCAGAGTTGGCTGAAGGATGCTGGCCATTCAAGAAAACGGCCCTTAGTGATAGACCCAGCTCAGCTCTCCTTGATGTAGCAGAGAAAGCCTCTTTTTAGCTTCGATTTCCCTGTAAGTCACCTCTCAGTTCTTGAACTACCAAGAATCAGCGCACAAGTCCAAGCATCGAGATGGCATGATATGCACCCCAATGGAAGCGGCTTCCACAGTATAGCTGCACCGGGGTGGCTAGTACTCCCAAGATGACCGTCACACAAGGCAAGCCAGGCACGATGTGCTTGTGCAGCATCTTGTCCTTCAGATCCAAACCACCCAAAGCAAACCCCTGTCTCGTGATTCAAGGGCATGTTGGTATGTCAATCCAAAATTATCACCAAGGGCTTGTCACATCCCCACCACTGGCAGATTCGTCGTCTTGCCGAAAAGCTATCCCAGCTCCTTCCCAGGTCTCACAGCCAAGGCACCAGTGGCTTGAAGCAGGGTAACACATCGCTGAAGACAACAACTGCCACTGTCAGCACGACAGCAGTGGCAAGTCCTAATCTGGATGACCCCGACGTGTAAAGATGGTTTGGCGCTGCAGGGCACAACTTGCGGTCTTGAACCTGAAAACCTCGGCTATCCCTGGCTCAAAATGATGAACTCTTAGAGGACGTTCGGAGTACAGCACCATGTCAGCCGTCCTGGTGGAACCGCCTCGCCTTTGGGCTTCAGAGCCTCTACCAGCTCAACCTCGAAACCCAAAGATCTCCTCAGAGCTGGAAAGTTCCCCAATTTGGGGAAGGTTTCTGCAGGTCTGGGCCCTAGGCCTCACTGTGAACACTGGCATGGGCCCCACGGGCATGCATAAGTTTGAGATCAATTTTGATTCATACCAACCGTGATTCTTTGTCTGTCTGTCTGCTATGCTTCTACAGTACATATTTGATACATGTTGATACTCCGTTTGTAGATGAATCTGCTTCACTATTGACATATCAATATATATATATATATGTGTGTGTGTGCATACATATATATATATATACACATACATTTTTCGATTATTTTCGCGTATTTGCTTTGCTATGTTCATTTTGTTGTATACCTGTGTATTTGGCTGGGCGCCGGCAATCCTGCAACTCTGTGTGTGTGTCACCTATTTTTAGAAACTAGCATCATGTCATCATGATCGCGGATCTGCCGAGGCCTTCCCATCTGCCAAACCCCTATCATTTTGCAGCCACCACTTCATTCAAGCCTAATTCTCTGTACACATGGATCTAAATGGCTTGCACCATGATGGCTTGCTGTGGTTCCAGCACCGCCAGCTGCACCTTTCGCAAACGCCTTCACATTCTCTGCATCAGAAATGATGGTTGCAAAGGTCAGCAGGCAGAGAACCAAAGACAACATCACTCAGGAGCTTGGAAGAGAAGAGTGTGTGAGATGAGGAGCCAAAGATCGTATTACCAAACCACACAATGCTGCTCCGCACGAAAATTTTATGTTGTTTGACTGAAGGAGCTAACTCCTTGCCACACTTCTTGCAACTCTAAAATTCTTCACAACCGCTCCTTCAGCATGTCTATACAACCGAATTTAAGTCCACTATTTTGTTGGCCCCTTCACGTTGCATGATTCTGCACCCATTCGCGGATGGTGGCGTCGTGCTTCGCCCGATCCTTCACATAGGTCTCCGCGATCTCCGGCACGAGCGGGTCAGCAGGGTTGGGATCGGTCAGCAGTGACGAGATGGACAACAGGACTTTGGAAATCGTCAAGGCAGGGCTCCACCTTAGCTTCAGCAGGGTCTCACAAGGTGGAGGGGTGGATCCAGGATTTAGTATGGATTGTTTAAACGAGACTTTGGAGCATGGCAAACTTTTCACTATCAAGAGGACGATGTGAAAATTCAGACCGGGCTTTTCTTCAAAAGTTTCCTGGAAGTCAGGTCAGTTGTTGTTTCTCCGGTTGATGAACAATGCCCTCCCTTTAGACGTAGAACTACTGACCAGTGCCAAAAAAAAACGCTGATTCTTTTCCCTACTGTTGTCCTCGTGGGGTTCCTGATTGTTGGTTAGGCACTGCCACTGGACGCCACCTAACTTGTGAATTTCACCCAGCCACTGATCGTTCAAAATGCTCAGGCAAATGGCGCCTTGCCTGTAGATGCACGGGCAAGATCTAGGGGGATTGTCTGCCAAACAAAGCTCAACCAGCCAGGACGCCAAGGGCATCCAAACGATTGCCACAACGATTATCTGCAAGCTATTCAGAACCCCAACAAAGGCATTCACCCACAATCATGGTGCGGGCAAGCTTCGAATTCACGTTACAGTGGTAGATCTTCGTGATGAAACGCACTTTGGGAGGTTTGAAGGGATACTCAACAGGAAAGTCCACCTTCAAGAAGAACACCCCATCCGCGTAAGGAGAGTCAGGTGGACCTCTGAGCACAGCGTCCCAATGAAACAAGTCCTCACCAACCTTCGTCAGCTGCAAGTGGATCAAAACACCCAAGAAATAACGTCGAGCTTTTTTGTGGCTGGCCCAAGTTTGTAGAAAAACAACGCGCTATAATAGTTTCCGGGAAACAACGAGACATGTCAATCTCTTGTTCGACCCTGCATCCACTCTTAGCATCTCTTACCTACAATGTTTGGGCTACCAAAAACTGCTGGTTCAAAACTGTCGACAGGTCCCGCTGAGAACTGCTCGTTCGGATTCTTGTTCAACTCATCCAGTTCTTTTTGCAGTCGTTTCGTTGCAGCCATAGCGCCGAAACCCTGCACTACTCCCCTGCGCTTGCTTGATCCGGAGGCTCTCTCCCATCACAAAAGTTGGCACGTAAAAACTGCATGGAACAGCCAGAAGGCAAGAGTGTGACAGGACTTGGAAGAGCAAGCCTTACAAGTACAGACCCAAGCAAGGTACCTGCAATCCATGAAAAGATGAAGAATGTCAGTGCATTGCTCAACTTCTGGAAAAGGCAAATCCAGCCGACCCTCATCATCGCATGATTTTGCCGCCAAAGATGCAAATCTGAGACGATCTTTCGAGCTCCACAACGGTAAGGATCGTAGTTGATTGCCAGCTCCCCACAATCTCAGCCGAGGTTGGATGGATCCAACTGAAGCTCAGATTCTATCAGATTCGATTCCATGAGCTTACCCACTATCCATTAGGCACCAAAATCTTGGACTACGGCTGGGTTCATTACCTGGGAACCCTTCGAATTTGGATTCAGCCTGTGTTTTGCAGCTCCAACAGCGGCACCTTCCGTCACATCCAGGATGCCCTCCATGCAGTGAAGCTCACGAGTCACTTCACCTACAGCTTAATGTCGTGGAAATGTTCAGGCTTGCCATTCCCACCCATCCCAAAGAGTTCAATCATCATCATCATCATCATCATCGTCATCGTCATCGTCATCATCATCATCATCATCATCATCATCATCATCATCATCATTCCAGCATCGCCATATACGCCATATACGCCACAGAACGCCGTATACGCCATGTCCATCCCATAGCCGCGGCCTTTTCCGGCACCTTTTCCCTCGGCCCTCAGATTCAGCGTGGCGCGGGCGCTGCGCATCTGGGAGCTGCGCAGGTCCTGCAGCACCGAGGCGTCGAAGCCGATGGACTCCACTTCGGCCTTGGCAGCTGATGGCCCCAGGTACCTCCAGGTACGAAAAACATCTCAAAATATGAATCAAAATTTGGTGTCAGAGTTGAAAGTGGGTGATATATATATATATATTTATTTATTTATATTTATATTTATTTATTTATTTACTTATTTAATTTATTTAATTTATTTATTTGTTGTTGCTAAGATATTTGGACACATGTGTGTTACTATGGCTTATCTGGTTGATCATCCCAAGTCGAGAGGGCAAGAGTAAGAAGCATTCAAAGAAACAAACCAAGTAGACACTGAGAACAATCTAGTACAACATGAGAGGAACATGACAAACGTCTCTGGCCCAAGGACATATGACAACAAGATTTAGGAAGCCATGGAACAACAGGACCCAACAAACTGCAGGGCAGCCAAGGTTCACAGAGATCTGCAGCTGTGAACTGCCCATGGTGAAGGCTGGGGCGATACTGCACCGATGCCTTTCCATTGATCAAATCCACCTGGCGATGCCATCGATGGCCATGGTGCCATGGGGGCCATCCCCACAACCGGGCACGGCCCTGCTCGCACCTGACACCTCTCCACGCACTTCAACTGCTTCATGGCCCTGGCTGCGCTCGGTGTCATGAAAGCTGACAGGATGACCAAGCACCTGTGGGGTCCCGCAGCTCATGTGGCCATCATATCACCTACTGTAAGTGTTATGCATCATGCAAACATGAATCCGCCCTCCAAAAGAATCAGTTAGAGCAAAATATCATTGCCCTTGCCACTGCGTAGCTTGGCCACTTCGTTTTCCCCAGCCCTCCACACCTCTCCACTGCGAAACTGCAATTGGAGCAGGTCATCCCCGTCACCTGTAATAAGGCATGACGACTTTCCAAACCTCGGCTGATGACGAGTGCCGGGAAGACAACTGGGACCTGCACCTTGGTCCGATTTGCTCTCATGAGCACCCCCAGTTGAAAGATTGCAGCAGAATCCCTACGGATCCGACGTCATTGAGGAAAGCCACTTGAGTTAATTTTGGCCATACATTGCGATACAACGGGATGAACTTGACTGCCTTCGCACAAGAGTAACATCTCGAGTCAACTTGTATATGGCTTCTCGTCAGTCTGTTTGTTGCACGATAGATTCTCTGATAAACAGCGTGACCCGGGAGCTTGGACGCATGGAATGGCCACTGAATAGCCACCGGCCCAAGGAATTTTGACTGCCAAGGGGCCCTGCGAACATTTGTCCATTGCACCTCAGACCAGATCCGACAGGTCGCAGCCGCAATCAGCGTTTTTTTCCACCAAGGTTCGTACAAAGCAGGGCCATAATACTGTTAATATCTATCCACCACAATGTACCCTTTCCCATAGTGTTTCAACTGGCATCTCAGGGGGGCTCTCTGACGTCTTAAAGAAACCGTTCCCGCTAAGTTTCTTCAAGGACTATTCAAGGACTGTGCTTCATCACTTCAACAGCTAACCGTGGGTTTGCAAAGCCCTCAAGATCACATCCACATCCATTGCATTCGGGGGCCTGGTTTCATCCAGATGTTTTCCGAATGGTTCTATATCCTGGGCTGGCAGGCTGGCAGAAAGTGGCTCAACAGGATTGCTGTCTTTCGCTTTCATGAGCCGCATAGAATGCGACAGCAAGAATTTGACATGTCTCCAGCCATATTCAATCAAACTATCAAAATCAGGTGGGGCCATATACTTTTGGTTCATTCATGTCAGCAACTTCAATCGCATTTACTCAGTAACATGACCAAAGAGCCCACGACAATGCATCCCCTTCACTGTTGGACCAACGACCTATTCGCTTCGAGAATTCTCTCCCTTGTCCCTGCCAAGGTATCGACAAGATTTGCTTAAGCCAAGGTGCAGATATATGAACTAGTTCATGATGGATGGCGAGAGCGTGAACGCTTGAGCAAGAGGGGTCAGAGAACAAGCTACCGTATATAGCGTGATCAAGTCTCACCTGTAGCTGAATGCCATGGTACGAGTAGCTCTGAATCCCAACGCGGCAGGTTGAAACATTTCCTTCGCATGTGTAAAAATTAGTAGTATTTGAAAAGCTTGACACCTGACGGAGATCCCGTGACTGGGAGCCGTCTGAGGGATTGCGCGGACCTTCAAACTAGGTCCTCCTGGTCCTCCTAATCACTATTACTATCTGTTTTTTTTGCCAGGGCCTCCAGAGGTTTTGCCCTAGATTACTATCTGTTGGATAGTAATAAAATACCGCTTCTTTCCTGATACTTGGCTATGCAGTGCACTTGAATCACTTCACACCGCATCTGACCACGGACTGATCCGGCTACGATCCCCGACGCATGGCAAGTTCTTGGCCTGGCTGTGATATTGACTTAAGATGACTTAACGCCCATTGTCCGCTTGGAGGGGTGTAATCGGGCTAAGTTTTGTTATAATTTCTGTAACTTCACACTTGTGGATGTCCATGGCTCGAGGGAATTTGTGTTGATAGTTGGGTGACAAAGTTCACCCCATGGGCCCATGGGCTATGCCAATCTCACATGCACCTGCGAGGCTGGCGCCTGCAACTCCAAGAGTTTCTGGATGGCAGCGTTGCCGAGCCGAACTGGATAGCTGTCTGCTGAGATGGGGTCGCTCTCCACGGCCTGCAGCGGATGAATGGAGTATGGTCATCCATCCCATAGTGGGAATCCTATCATAAGGGCTATATGGCTATATATGCTACATATATATATATATTATATAGTTATATTCATGTTATATTCTATTTATTAAGCCGTACTTGGGGTATGGCCATCCCACAACATGCTTTCAAAAATAATCCGAAACCAAACTGCAAGTCGAAAATTCTGCCGCTTTGGCTTGCCCAACAGCACATCAAGCCCTTTTGGTCTGACTGGTGCTTTGCGCGAGTTCCACCCATGTCGGAAGCTGTCCGTCGCAACATGGAGGCACTGACGAAACTGGTTGCCAGCAATCGACTGGAGCTTACGAAAAAGTGAATCTTCAAAAACTGAATGGTCTCCACAAATGGAATTGAGATTAAAAGCAGTCCGCAACTCCCCAACGATGAGCAATCCATAAGCTCCTGCTCGTCATGTCCTCAACAGAAAGAACCCCCGACATCCGGAGCAAACCTGCCGCCGCAGCCATAGGCTGTTTGTGGATTTTGTGGCCTGGACCCGCTGGATCCTTTTGCAGATTATAATGTGAGCACGTCCCCAGGGTACTCTCAGGTGATGCCCAGCATTCCGCACAGCAACCTGGACCCGAGAACTCCTGAGGCGCACAACTTCCGTTACCCCAAGGCTTCTAGAAACGATGCCTCATTGTTTACCTCATGCGAAAGACTCAGGTTATTGTTGGATATATTGTTGGTAGTTTCGTTGTTTTGGATGTAAACTATTGTCAACCCGCGTTTTTTGTGCCCAAAGCGAATGAGCCGCGCTGCTCAATGACACGATGCCAACATTCCAAATTTGATGGTCATGTAGTCATGTGAGTCATGTAAATCAAAATGTCTGCTTTTCTTGACAGCCACTGGGATTGCCAAACTATGAGGCCATTGCGTTCAGAGTCGCTTTGAACATAGTCTGCCCATTTTATATGGCCCGTTGTTGTAAGGGCCTCACTTCTTACATAAAATTTGGTCTCGCGCGAAGGTGCTTTGAGCCGCGCTCATTGGAACTCCAATCAAGGCACTTTGGCCAGTTGATTGTGCACGCATCTCCCCGCCTGAGATTCAGTCGCAGGTAGAGCACCAGGTGCCAAGAGTGTGACGGTGGCGATGGCACAATATTTTAACACTAAGGGGTACAGAAACTCCACTGCTGCCGTGGTCATTCGATTACGTATCATTATTCCATGCGAACAATGCCGCACCTGAAGTCGCTGCCTCCCATTTTCTCAAAGGTCATGATCCCATCTAAGTGCCCCAACAAGTGCCATGGCCCACGTTGCAGCTGTGTCGGTCCCAGCTCAAGAGTCACCAATCATCAGAATAAAACGTCGTCTACACTTTCTAGGATTTTCTGGGCTCACTTAAGCTGGGCAATGGAAAGGGACCTCCGGGCCATGTGCCCAAAGACGGGACGCCATATCCCTCACCTTGGCCAAAACTTTGACCCGCAGAGTGTTTAAGTTTTCAGGGGGGTATATGTAAGTCTAGGCCTGTGCCAATCCGGGAATGTAGTCCCGTCAAATCCTGAATGATTCGGAGAAAGAGGTGGCGTGGCTCAAGGTCTCCGGCAAATAACCTCTGCTTCGCCATGGCCTTTGAAATCGGCCATGGCAGCTATGAAGACTTGTGAGCCGTAGCCACACGGAACACCTTGGCAGCACCATCTGCCTTTTCAATCGAAGAAATCCACCAACCTGGTCTGACCGTCCGAAGTAACCTCAGTTTCGCCACAACCCCCATGGTAGCCCTGCTTCAACGGAGTCGTGCCATCAATCAGTTGGATGCCGCGCCTGGAAGCGGACTTTGCTGGCCGTGCCCATGAAGTCCCCACTGTGATGCAAGGGTGTGGGCCGGTCCACCTGGCACGGCTGGGCATGGCATGCGAAGCATTACACCACACTACACCGCATTGCATTACATCACATATGAGACAGTGACATATGTATACTTCTTCTTTATACGTGATTTGACATATGCCTGTATACATTCATTCACCCTTTGAAAATGGTGCGAACTGATGAACGAGAAACTGTTTCACCATCCCTGGCATGGTTTCAATCCCAAGCGAGGTCAATGAGGATAATGAGGTCAAGTCTTCTATTCTTGGCCGTGGGGTCCCGCAACAGTCTTTGTTACACTGCTCGATTGAGAGTTGTGATGGAAAACCTCTCAGTCCTTGGTTGGTATTGTTTTCCTGACAACGAACCGCAAATGATACCGTGGTCCTTTGGAGCCTATCACACAGGCATGATTCCGCCACCTCAACCATGACATCTTTCACCAAGAAGTCATGGATATGTTTGTGATTTCCTCAGTTGAAGCCAAGCCCACAGAAAAGCGAAAGCATCTCTGTCATTTGACCCTCATGTAGTACATGTAGGATGAAATGAAGCGCTCCACAACCTTGCTCAAGCCTTTACCGTCAATATCTATGGTACCAAGGCAGCCCTATGAATCCACGACATGACAACACTTGCACCGAGGATCGGTAGGTCCCTTGCCACAGTGGCCGGATATTGAAGGTGGCCACTGCTGGATGAATATGAGACAAGCGAATGTGTGCAAAGCCAGGGCCTGAGCTGCTGCATTGTACTGCAGAAAGCTACAGCCTGACGGCTCTTTCGGTTTTTAATGTCAATCAGTGCTGGGTCTGCAGCTCATTTCCAAAAATATCTTTAGCATTTGGTCCGTTGTAGTCCACGGCATTCCACTGGCTTCCCACGGTGAGAGCTGACAAGAAGCGCATGCCAGCGAAGGGGAACAGCCGGAATCCACCACCATAGAAAGGGACGGTGCCTGAAGGGACGGATTGCCAAGTCGGAAAAGGCATGGACTCAACCGTTGATGATTCATGTGCCCTAACCTTGGATGCCTCTTCCAAGATTCCCTCCCAGCCAATTTTTAAAGATAACATGCAGAAGGACGGAGGGAAAAGCATCTGGATCCATCCGCAACCGCAGGTCTCCTGCGCTGACAATTCCTGTCTTGCCCTCATAGATCACCTGGTCCTGGGCACCAGCCATTTCTCCATTGCCGCGTAGCAGGGGCACCACTGGTCACCACTCACAAATTCACATCAATATATATATATATATTATATTATAATATAATATAATATAATATGATACAATATAATATAATATAATATAATATACTATAATATAATATACTATACTATACTATAATATAATATAATATAACATAATATAATATAATATAATAAAATAAAATATAATATAATATAATATAATATAATAAAATATAATATAATATAATATAATATAATATAACATAATATAATATAATATAATAAATATATATATATATATATATATATATCTATCTATCTCTCTCTCAATATGTTCTTCCAACAGCTTTGTATATTTGACCGTCTTTCCAGAATTCAAGACTTGACCTGCCGAAAAGAGCTACGTACCACCGTACCACCATTCACTCTTTCAAGCCCACTTCACCGCATGCCAGCCCAAATCCCCGCTCCTTGTGGTACTGTATCGCCCAATCCCCCCGTCGGGAGTCCATTGCAAAGGCTTCATCGGCCAAATTTGTCACCTTCACATGGAAGACCTGGTGGCTGTGCCAGGAAGGATTGCCTCCACCACTCGCAATGTAATGATGCTCTAGCAACCAGCCACTAATCATGGTTCCAAACAAAGTCAGCCCTGTAGAATAGTGGTGGATCTCCTATTTTCATCCTTTCAATAATCTTTCAATATGTTGGACAGAAGGAAATTCAACGGCATTGCTTTTCCAAGGGAAACCAACCTTTGGCCCAGCCACGTGCTCTCCCCGCATGGTCGCGGGCAAAGTGCGAAGCGCAAGGGCGACTAGGTAGCCCAGTGGGTTGTGAAACATCTTCGTCAAGAAGCGGTTCTCCTGTTAACATGCCGGCGGAGCACAAGGGAATCCTTCTGAAATAATGGGATGATGGTCCTTCATAAACATAAACAAGTTTTATATATAAGTTCAGTATCATTGAGGGATATTGAGGGCGGTGTCCAGTGCCTTTATCGCAGTGACCAAGGCATCACATCCCTTGTCAAAGGGGGCTCCCGGTGCCGTTGGTCCTTAGTCTTGTCTCGAAGCCACATGTAGTCCTGCGCCGGTGTGTGGGATGCGGATTTGTAGTGTGGGGGCAGCTGGTGGAACACTGGAGGGTTATCCTCCCCATGCATGGCAACTGGTTTTATCAAGCAAATGCCTTTGTCTGCTTCTAAGTTTGCACTCCATGAGTTGAGTTTGCCGACAACTATTCCTAGTTCGGTTGAACCCACTCACAGGGCAAAAATCCGATTGATCATCAAACCTAGCTGCTTCCACAGCCGTCGCCCACATTTTTCGCCTCACCTGCAGCATGCGAGCATCGTAGCCAAGCCCTGCAAAAAAGCAGTGCGTGTTCTCCGCAGTGTCCGCAGGAAGCCCCTGGCCAGCGCGGCCCATGGCTCCAAGCAATGGAAGGAAGTTGGAACAGGTGGGAACAATGGATGATCAAATGATTCAAATGGGAACTATGGGAACTATATGCACAAGAAACACATTCCAGCAAATTGGAGATGTCTGGACATTATAACAAGTAGCAATGGACATTGCAACCTGGAAACGGCAAACTGCTAGTTTCACACTCTCCGCTTACATCTCAAACACCCCCCCAATGATGTAAAAAAACCTGGGCATCATATCGCAACAGAATCGGTATTTGGCCATAGCTCGCAATTCGCATGATGGATATGATGGCATGATGCGGTCCATTATGTCATTGGTTTGCATATTGGAAGAACAGTCCCCGGAAATGATTTCCTGAAAGGAATAAAATGGAAACGAACTGCCGGTCCCTCCCTGCCTCGGCGGACAAGTTGATTGTGCTGGTAGGTATCTCTGGAACTTTTTCCTGCCAAATTCAAATCGGTGAATGAAAAGGTGCATGGAACTACGCAAACTGAGAAAGAGAGTGTAGGACACCCAACCAACCTGTGTAGGAGAAGGGGACAGCATACTGGGCCCCGGGCAAATGGAAGATCATCTCAAGATCTTGGTTTTATCTAACACCTGTCAGTGCCTATACCCAAGAACCTGCACACCTCCCAAGTGGTTGCCAGCATCAGTTGTAGCTAGCATGATCTACTGGGGCATCGCCCTGAACCAAATGCCTAGAGTTACAAATGTAACCCAAACCAATGAGGACCGTGAACCGTGATGCAACATCTTCCCACATTCGAAAAGTTGCGGCACAATCAGCGAACAAACGGACTTGACTCATTCAACATGGACTCCTTCTCGTCCGAAAGGTGATCCACCAAGCTTTGGAGATCTTTGGCAAAGTTCTTCTGAGCACCTGCAACCGCAGCCTTTCTTGAAGCAAAGTCTTCAATTAAAACATTGCTTAGGCCCGCAACTGGCTACTGCCAGAATCAATATATACGTGACTTGGCTATCGGAGGTTTGCGCGTTCTCTCTCCATCTGTCCGCCTACGTATCTATTTATACATATATATGTTCACAAATCACAAACATGGATATAAATATAAATGTATATATAGTCGGGAACTGAAACTTAGAATGAGGTTTCAATTTCCAAAATTTTCAGTGGAACACTTAGAATGAGGTCTGTTAGAATGAGTACCGGCAACATTTTTATACGTAATATATAGATCTATAAAGGAAAAAGGAAAGGAAAAAGGAAAGGAAAAAGGAAGGAAAAGGGAAAGGAAAAAGGAAAGGAAAAGGGAAAGGAAAAAGGAAAGGACAAAGGAAAGGACAAAGGAAAGGAAAAAGGAAAGGAAAAAGGAAAGGAGAAAGGAAAGGAAAAAGGAAAGAGGAAAGGATTGGTGTGGCATTCTAAGTGTTACAAATGCAGCCGGGAGGGACAAAAATCGTCAAGGAAAGCATAATTCATGTGGAAATCAGCAAAAATCATAAAACACATGCCCCCAAAACCCTTGGACGCATTCTATGTGCAACATGTTTGGCAGCATTCTAAGTGTAAAACCGTCTAGTTGAAAGGAAAGGAGAAAGGAAAGGAGAAAGGAAAGGAGAAAGGAAAGGAGAAAGGAAAGGAGAAAGGAAATGAGAAAGGAAAGGAGAAAGGGAAGGAGAAAGGAAAGGAGAAAGGAAAAAGGAAAGGAAAGAGGAAAGGATTGGTGTGGCATTCTAAGTGTTACAAATGCAGCCGGGAGGGACAAACGTCAAGGAAAGCATAATTCATGTGGAAATCAGCAAAAATCATAAAACACATGCCCCCAAAACCCTTGGGCGCATTCTATGTGTAACATTTTTGGCAGCATTCTAAGTGTAAAACCGTCTGGTTGGAAGGAAAGGAGAAAGGAAAGGAGAAAGGAAAGGAGAAAGGAAAGGAGAAAGGAAAGGAGAAAGGAAAGGAAAAAGGAAAGGAAAAAGGAAAGGAAAAAAAGGAAAGGAAAATGGAAAGGAAAAAGGAAAGGAAAAAGGAAAGGAAAAAGGAAAGGAAAAAGGAAAGGAAAAAGGAAAGGAAAAAGGAAAGGAAAAAGGAAAGGAAAAAGGGAAGGAAAAAGGGAAGGATTGGTGTGGCATTCTAAGTGTTACAAATGCAGCCGGGAGGGACAAAAATCGTCAAGGAAAGCATAATTCATGTGGAAATCAGCAAAAATCATAAAATACATACCCCCAAAACCCTTGGACACATTCTATGTGTAACATTTTTTGCAGCATTCTAAGTGTTAAACCGTGTGGTTAACTTTCGAAAACATCATTCTAAGTTTCGGTTCTCAACTATATATTTTTTTTATTTATCTATTTATTTAACATCTCCAGCATTGCACGCACAATTCTTGCTCCATGCTGGTGCTGCATTGTCACAAGGCCTGGGCTTTACAAAAGTGGGCAGCAAGGCGGTTCGTGGGATTTGGGTGAAGTTTGAGCACCGCGCTGGCAGTCGAGGTTGGTTGTCAACATCTCAAGCATTACACGCACTATTTCTGCTCCATGTTGGTGCTGAAATGTCACGAGCTTCGGAAGGAATTGGATTGAGTTCACTTCCTGCACGTAGATTTCCATGACTCCGTTGCTGATCCAACGTCCCCTGCGCCGTGTAGCCTCCGAATCTTCAGAAACCAGCAAGAACCAGCTGGCGCCACCTGCGCGCAAACTCCTTAAATCGAGGCCTCTGCTCAGACCTTCAGGGAGCTTTGTCAGGTGGTTTGCTGCTAAAAGCTTCTGAAATGTTCCTCGCATTTTTTGTCCCGACATGGGCCAAAGGCATTCACCTGGCAGCAAAAACCTAAACGCAAGGTCGATCAGGGCCAGGAGCTGCGGTTGGTCCAGCCGGGCTGCCTCATGTCTCGCTGTCTCGCCGCAGTGAACCTAGTCTTTGGTTCCCCGACCTCCAAGAGCGCGAAGTCAGAGGTCCCTCCCACGTCTCCAATCGTCGCAATGCCACCCCAGGACAAAGCTATTACCAGAGCATTGATAGCTCCGACACCATAGTACCTTCCTACACTAAATCCACAAAAAGATCCAAGCTCTGGGGGTCTGGAATGGCTGCGATTTGTGGGATGGCAGAAGACCAAGACGGACAGAACGCTGTGAGCAGATTGGCATAAGGCGGAGGCAGTCGGATGAGAGGAAAGAGACACACAAAGCAACCACAAGCAGGGCGCCAGTGCAAGTCCAAGGAGAACCCAAAGTCCAGCAGACACAGAACAGACTGGAACAAATTCATCGACGGAGCCATACATGAGATTGCTGACGCAAAGCAGGCCAAGTCCAAATGCCAAAGGACCTTCACCCGCGAATCCAAGGGTTGAATCAAAACCCATGGTCCTCTTGGAAAGCCGATGGAAAGGGGAGTGCTTGTACTTTACTTCAGCAAACCTCGAGCTGTCCTGACTGCGCTTCCACGTCAATGGCCCTCCAATGAACAGCAAAGCAAGACGCACCCACTTTGCAGAACCGCGCTTCAAGGGAGATAGAGAGCAGATCCTCCGGAGTCCAGCCAGCTCCAACAAAAGACGTGACAGGTTCAGGAGGCTCATAGTCACGGGTAGGACAGTCCGCTACTGGTCGGCCCACGGTGGTACACAGGATAAAGTCCACCTGCAACAGAGATAGCCCCAGCACGCCTGACAGCAGATAGCAGGCCGAAGTCCATCGGAGGGGGGTGCGGCCTTTGACAAGGGCAGAAAGTCCAACGTTGGAGTCCAAAATGATGACATCTCGCGCAGGCACACACTCCAGGGCGACCTTCTTCAGAGCCGACAAACAACTGTCGTTCCGAGGTTGTTGATATGGGTGGGCAGCTTCCAAGACCAGGCCCTGTCAACATACCATCGCTTTGAGAACATCATTGACAAGTGAGTTCTCAAGTCCCTGAGTGTCAGGTGTCAAGCACTTCTCAGTGTCGAGCTTTCTACAGAAGGCCCTGTCAAAAGCACAAGCTAGGTTCTCAGCCAGCTCATCTGTGTAGATTGCAGAGCCTTTAGTCCACTTGCCTTCGATCTTGATATGCCCGTGATCTTTGCTGCATTTCCTATGAAGAGGGCGGAACTCCTTGTTCCTGTGGAGGAAGACAAATTCTTTCTGGTGAGGGGAGCCTTCAGCAAGCCTGAAAGGAGGAGACAAAGCCATTTGCTCAACCTCTTCATCTTTGTCCTATTGGGTCGTTCAAAAAAGCCAGGCACTCCAAGGATAGCAGCTCTGAAGATCGGGGCAAGTGCACGAAGTCCCCTCAAGGGCCCTAGCTCTGCAAGACCATAGCCCCTTGGAACATCATATCCACGAAGAGTAGGGCGCTGAGCAGGGGACAAAATTGTGCAGGGAGGCTCAACCATGAAACGGTCCAACAGGCCCTCATCCAGCAGAAAGAAAATCCATGAAAGAATTCGCGGGCTGCGGGTGTTGTAATAGGGCGAAGAATCCAAGTCCAAAACTGGCCCCACAGTCCAACCCTTCCTCACTAGAGCTCTGGTGACTTTTCCTGACCCTTCGCAAATTTCAATGAAATGGAATCGATGGGCGCGTGGCTTCTCAGGGCTAACTGAAGGTTCGGAAAAGTCCGGACCTGGGAAAAACTCGTGTTATCCTTCTCATGACATCAAGCTTTCGGATCAGGGCTTCTTCCCTGCGCAACTTGCGATGATAGCCACCTCTTTTCCGACCTGTCCTCCAAAGGGCCCGCATCATGGTAGCATCGCAGGAGCTGGAGACATAAGCACCTTTCGCATCAGAGGTGTCAGTGGCAAAGACACGGTCTCTGAAGCCAGCAGCAACTCCTCGGCTCAACCTGAAAAGCTTTGGGTTCTCCTGGTCTACCTTATCTGTGGAGCACAAATGGTAGGACTTGGCAAGCAAGGACATAAACTGGCGCCGGTGCACCATGACATGGGTCCATCCACCAATGAGACAGACACGAACTGCATCTGTAGTGTAAGGCATGCCAGCAAGCTCCAAAGACAGGAAGGAGAATGCAAGCCGTTTTTTGCCTGGAGCTGCGCACGAGTGGAAGAGCGAGAGTCAAGCTCTCCGCCTGTGACCTTTGCAAAGTGCTCATCAAAGACATCCTCGTCTGCAAAACCCAAAATGCCATGGGGCTCATAAGCTTCTGTAGCAGTAGCAGTGGACATCCTCTGCACGGACTTGGGCACAAAGCCAAGCCTGACATCTCGCGTCTCCGCAACCGACACGACATAGAAACCATCAATATCGACACACTGAACCACATCAGTTCCAAAGAATGGCAAATCAGATCTCAAAACTTCGGGATCACAAAGCAGGCCAGCCCTTTTCAGAAAATTGACCTGTGCCTCCGTGGCAAACTCAACTCTCCTGCAAGACCTTCCCAAGTCAGAAAGCACTGAGATCTGCTAGAGACGACATCATGGAAACAAATCTTCGGCCACAATCAGGAACCGAGATAAGCTCAGGACTGCTACCAAAAACGGAGCTGCCGCAAGTAGCACAGGGTGTTCAGCTGCTTTTGAGTGGGCAACACCGACAAAGCCCTGGCAGGTACAAAATGAAAATCTGCATGCCGAAAGGTCAAGGCCATGACCAAAGTGTGAAAGCCCTTGTCAAACACGCATCTCCCCCTCTGCCGGGAGCCACACCGCTTCTTTACGAAGAGCCCAATCTTTGGAACAGGCAGCGGGAACAAGGAAGCCTCAGGTGCTGAGGCGTCTACTCTGTCAACATGGAGCGTAGAGCGTAGAAACGCCGCAATCGGAGTTCTTGAATTTAGGACTTTCTCAGGCAGCCTTCTCATCCAAACAAAAGTAGAGCAAGCAAGCCCATGTTGAAAAAGCCGCAGGACCATTGCACCTGGCAAAGCAAGGCTCAGGAACAGAGGCACATGTAGTCCTGGTCGCAGACTAGGTTTCGGAGCTCCCCCTTCTTTGGGCCGTTGGCATACCAAGGCTTCTTTGGACCTCATGAAGCGTTTGTTCCTAAGGGCTGTCATCGGGCCTGGCTTCTTTCCAGGGAGGACGTCTTGCCTCCCCGTTGACATGAGGGCTGTGGCTGCCCAACCTACAGGACAAAGTGAGGCAAAGGCACGCATTCTTGGGTTGGTCGACACCGGCCGGCGGGTCTTCCTGAAGAGACAGGATCCACCCTACTATCTCCCACTTTCCAGTGGGCGCCAGAAGTTCTTGGGCGCCCACATTGTCGCCTTGCAGCATCTGGTCGGCCACTTGGGCAAGTAACCACATCGCCAAGCCCATGTCCCGTTGCTGAGCAAAACCTCCGTGCCTTTCCAGGTACTTCGCAAACATTGGCGTGTTCTGAAACTCTGCGAGGGACCCTGGAAGCTGGTCTGAAGGGCGAAGACGGCGATGAACATTTTGTGCCACCTTCAGCAGAAAGTTCCCTTCCTCAGCGCCAAGTCCTCTTGCATCCTGTCGCGGTCGCGCTTTACTGACCCTTTCAGAGAGATGCCTGAGGAACTGGAACACATTTCAAAATCCAAGGTTCTCGGGGCTGGCAAGATGGGACATCAACGAAGTCAAGACCTGGCTCTGCTACATCAAAACATCTGCCATCTGCAGAAGTCTGTTTTGGGCCACTTGCTCCAAGAACGCTTCCTCTGATGGAATGAACCCAGGCTCGTCTCCTAGACTTGGTTGGGCTGCGGACTGGGCCGGGGCCTTTCGCAAAGCTAAAGCCCGTGATCTGGAAGGAGGTGGACCAACTGCACTGAGAAACTGGGACTGAGGCACGGGCGGTATGGCAGGCATTGAGGAACTGAAGGGCTGTCTGCAAGTGCTGCCGTGGTACTCTTCCTCTGAGCAGGCCTCTTTGGAGAAGCACGTGTAGGCGCCGACTTTGCCTTGACAGTTGGCTGGGCTTCCTCTGCAGCGGAATAAAACTAGGCCGGTTCTTCGAAGCAACTTGGAGCCATTCCAGAGCAGAAGTCAAAAGGGAAGACGAGAGAGGCAGAAAGTCCACACCGTCTGCCGAGAAAGGCTGGCTCTCCATCGCGACGGTCACAAGGTCGAACTCTCTCAGAAAAGGCAAAGTTCCAATGCCAAAATCCACAAGGAGGATCTGCAGCATGGACCCTGTCTCGACCTCTTGACCATTGTCCTCCTCCAAAACTGCTGGCACTGTCACGAAGTGCGATGGGCCCACAAGGTCCTAGAAGCCGTCAAGCCGCTCCTCAAAACTTCGGCAGGGATGAAGTCCAGTGGAAGTCCAAGCAAAATTGCCCGTCTCTTGTGCCAGGGCATCTTCGTACCCAAGGGCCCCCAACTCTTCCACAGGGTTCCGGAGGACATAGAGATGGCCAGCCCCCCGTGTTCTCGACAATCTTGATGGCGTCCACGTTCAAGTCTGCCATTGCTCAGGAAAATCAACTCCAGCGGCAAGGCAGTAGACACGGGCCTCAGATTCTGATGGGAAACTGTGGGACAAGCTGTCCTTGGTGAACCTTGGCAGGATGCGGAAGTACTCACCCAGCCTGGGTGTGGACCAACAGGGCAATGAATGTCAGGGCCACGCAGAACCACATAGGGTGTCCGTTTGAGCGACAGCTTGGAGTCGGCCTTGGTGTTTGGACCCGAACCTCCAGCACAGCACGAGCCCAAAGTCCAACTTCCCAAGCTCGTTGTGCCCGATCAGAGGCGTCAACGCCCAATCTACCACGCAATTCTAAAGCGGCAGCAGAGACTCGGAGATAAGTCCAGCCACCTCAGAGCATTGGGAAGAGTGCACAGAGTCAGAGATGACAGAGAAGCCGGAAACCTCAGGGAGCGGCCACAGAAGCGGAGGGGCGGAAGGAAGGTGACCTGACGGAGTCGTTTTCACGAGAGCCCCAAGCTGACTCAAGTGAATCAGCTATCTGCCGCAGTGAGATGATGGCTAACCTAACGGCTCCGATCAATCCACCCCCGTTCATGCAAATAAGCCCGAAGGCGGTCAGGCGCAGGAGGAGTGACCGAGGATGAACAATGGGCAGGACAGGCCAATCCAAACCACCCCGAGCTGGACCTGGCAAGGACAAACCTTGCCACTTCCGAAACCAAAGGATGCATGAAGCTTGAGCACCGCGCATGGCAGTCGAGGTTGATTGTCATCTGAAAAAATAAATAAATAAACTAATTATATATATATACATATATATATATATACACATATATATACCCATATATACATATATATTTACATATATATATATATATCGCCCATTTATATGCACATATATATATAATTATTATTATTATCATATCCTTCTCTCTGCATGGAAAATTATGTCGCATGGTGACTTGCAAATGGTCAAAAAGCCTGCGGTCACCCAGAGCCATTACCTTCACAGTGTGCCATGTCCAGCCTGTCAAGTAGGCCAAGGCATTGCCGGTGCCCAAGCGCAGCACACACATCGTTGGGCTGCTCTTGAGGTTCTCATTCTCGGCACGCCTTGGAAATGACACAGGCATTGGATGACAGTGCGTGTGCTTGTATAGGCAGGACTTGTTAAAGACATAACTTGAATGTGGAGTGAAAGTGACTAGCACCTCTGTAACTAAACTAAACCGGTCTCCCCCAAGCTGGCTGCCCTGCCGCGGCAGCCAAGTGGCACTTTGGCCATGAAGTTCAGCAAGCCTCAGAGTCTATGGCCAAGGACACGCGGTTCTCAGGGCAACCGCGAATTGCTCACTGAAGGAAGAAACCTAGGAAAATGAAGGTGTTCATATCAGGACTGTGTCTGCTTCAAGGTATTCAAACCCTGTCATTTGTCATTGCGATCACATCCTGGAAGCTCCTATGGAGGTGCCATAAAGGTGAAGTATGGTGAACTACTCAGGTGCATCCACGAGAGCTTGATCCTCTCAGGACTTAAGACTATGTTTTGAGTTTTGATATTGATGTAGCTGTAGAAGGTTATTATATTATATAATATAATATATATAATATATATATATATTATAATCATGATATAAGGGTGATGATCAAATGGAAATGCTGCAGGAGTGGTGGTATCAAAGTATGGCACGAAGGGGCGGACAAAACGACGCTGTCTTGTACAAGGAGCTTGTCACGGTTCCATCACCTCCGCCGCAAACGACCACTTTGCACTCGCTATCGCCCATAACCTGGTTGCAAAGTGCCATCAAAAACATTCAAAAACAACGTCTGCCTCGTCATGAATATACGATCATCTAAGTAGCGCCACGGTGCCACTGTAAATTGGTGGGCACGTAGTGTACCGTATATCTGAATATCTCCACGTTCTCAATATATAGTGGCTTTTGATGGCTCTGACATCAAGCTACTTTAATTTGAAGGAAGATCAACAGAGAAGCCCTCTTTAAAGTCCGAAGGTGGGGGGGCATTGGCTTCCAGCACATTCAAGGCAGCACTTACTTTCCTGCTGCCAATGCCTAAGTCTTTCAAGCATCTCAGCAAGCTGGGACCTTCTATCCATCGCCTACATCGTCCCCCCAAATCGACTTGGCCTTCTTCAAAGCATGCTCTGCATCCTCCTCGCAGCAGCACACGAAGGTCCGCAAGGGTCCTACAATGCCCATCAGTTTCTTCTCCACCTTTTTGTTCACACCCTTGGCGTTTCCTGGGCGGATGCTAGGCTGGACAGCGCCAAGGACGTAATTTACCGTATCCCTCACGGCCAGGGAACGATTCAGGATCAACGCCACGGATCGTTGCTGGATGTTTGATAGAGCCTGTTGTGGGCATGAGAGCAATCCCGCCAAACAAAGAATGCAGCTTCAGAAAAGATCAGGAAAGGGTCATGCTATCGGCGAGAGATACTTCCAATAAGAAAACATCAAGTGTACATAGTCATAGCTGTCAAACAGTGACAGTCAGAAATCATTGGCGATTGACAGGTTGAAAAAGAAAACTCAGGATCATCAAGATCATCAGGCGGAAGAATCCAAAGAGCACCAGTTTCCACTCGAATTTCACTTGTCAGAGTCCCAGCGATAGAGTGGGCTGCATGTGTCAACACCACGTTTTGGACCCTTCTAGGAGATCTGCCACATTGTATACCAGTGATCAAAGCTCTGAAATACGAGACCTTCTTGGCAACTTGCATCTCCAGTTCATCAGGGTACTACGGACAATCATGGAGCGCAGCCACTGCAGGAGATAAATTTCCACCACTAGGATAAACATGGATAAACCATGAAATGAATCGAAATACGAGATCTTGACAGGCGAAATGTTGTACAAACACCTGCATCTCAGCACCCTGGCGGCCCTGGCGGCCCTGCGCCTCTTCGTAATCCACCTCGCAGCTGTCGTTCACCGGCCATGTGGCGGTCTCATGTCGAGGCACTCGGGTTGCTTGCACCTCCCCATTGACCGACAGAGGGGGGTTCCTCCATTGGTCAATTCAACAAACGGAAGGGAGAACACAGCAACAGTTTAATTAACTGAAACAGCTCGCAAACCTCCCAAAAATCCCCGCAAGGGCTGGGCTGAAATCGCATACTGCCATGCACAATATCACCCATTTTGATCTGCTCCAGTTAATGTTTTAAACGGCATGAACTCTTGTCAGAAGTGTTTATTCTCTCAAACGCCAGCAATGTGCAACATCCCAAGGATCCTTCATCTAAAAAAACCGTTTGCTTCGCTTGTTTCAAGTGTCAGAGTTATCCGAGTGATCTCCTGCACGAAATCACCGAAACTGCCAGCACCAACTGCCGCCATCACCTTCCTCTGCCGCCATTTTCGGCTGCCCACAGCTGCCACCGTAGCCAGGGCCACAAAGCGCTGCAGAGTTTTGGGCCACGCAGAGGTCCCCCAAGAAGAAGCTCCTGGGGCAACGGCGATACCTTTGGTGCTACAGCGTGATACAATACACCACACGATACCTCACAAAACACCTCATGTCGAATCAAACACTTCAAGTGCGAGGACCCATACGTCTATGTACCCCCTAGCGAAAACCATCGGCTGTTGTCCTTGTGATCCCTTCCAAGCAGACGAACGCCCGAAGTCCTCCCAACGCACAATCACTGCTCTAAATGATGGGACCATGGTGAAGAGCTCGGGAAAGGGACGCAGTAGTGGTGACTTGGGCAATGTTCAACCATTTCCGACGACATGATGGCCCTATCACCAAGGGCCTTTTCAATCAAATAGAATTGCCTATCATTGTGTTCCTCCATATTGATCCCATGAAGGGGAAGGACTTTGCTGGAGGTGATGCCACTGTGATGGGAAATCTGCTCGGTATGCTATTCTCTGCTGAAATTTTTGGATGGCCATCGGCAGCTCAGCCACCCCTTCGATGCCTGCCGCGCACTGGGCACCGCCACCCAGGTAACGAAAGCCGAAGGTGAACTCACCGCTGCCATGGCACAGCTGGCATTCCAGCACTGAAGCTGCAAAACTACAGCCAAATGGGGATCGAAATGGCCACCAAAAACATCCAGAGCTACGAAGCACTGAGAGTTTCTCTGGCTTTCCTCATGACCATCGTCTTCCCTACTTCTTGTTCTGGGCTTCTCCGACCCATATACCAAGTGTCAAGACAAATCAAGCCTTTGTGATGGTGATGGTCACGGTTAGGAACAAACTCGTAATCCACGGACAATCCTTCCAAAACCTTTCGGTTTCTCACCACTCTTCCAGCAATGCCTGAGCCAATCCAACGACTGGCGCTGGCATCTCGAGCCCGGGGAACTCCACAGAACGCCTAAGGCGGTTAGATGTCAAGGTACAGATGGAAGTCAAGATCAAATTGGCATATGGGGTCCCTTTCATGTTTGCCGGCACCTGTGAGCACAAGAGGCTACAGCAACCAAGAACACTGCACCTGAAAGAACCCCAATTAAACGCCTAGCGCTGGTAGCTCGGCAATCACAATTGAACCATGGTGCGGAGCAGTTGCAAATCTACGCGCGAGTGGAAGCGCCTGCACGAGACGTTGAGTTCAATGGAGTCTATATGTATATGACTGCTCAAAAGCGTCTCCCTGACCCGTACATCAAGAACAATGCATCTGTGTTGAACGACAAATGTATATGCAGCAAGCGACGCAGAGCAACTTCTTTTTTCCCCCACATCATTGAGTGGGGTTCTTGTTTATCTGTTGTGCGCTCCCGCCGTCCGCAACCACCTCCGCACACACACAGCTCTTCGCACACATCTTTGTCACATATATACACACACACGCAATCTTCACACACGACGCTCACACACAATACTTTGTCACACACAACTCTTTCAAACACGACCTACTCACGCACAACCTACTCATACACACTTTTGTCATACATAATTTTGTCACACACACACACATTCCTCACACACAACTCTTTCACACACATCTCTTTCACACACAACTTTGTCACACACACACACAACTCTTTCACACATACAGTAACTCTTTCGCACACACAACTCTTTCACACACAGTTTACTCACACACAACTTTGTCACGCATAAGTTTGTCACACACACAGGCGCAACTTCCTCACACACAACTCTTTCACACACAACTTTGTCACACATAAGTTTGTCACACACGCACACCACTTCCTCACACACAACTCTTTCACACACAGCTCTTTCACACACAACTTTGTCACACATAACTTTGTCAGACACAACTGCTGTGACGCCGCGGTCCTTTGGCGCTGTGTGTGGCCGACCAAGCGGCCACCGATGTCACCAGGTGCCACTCCTGCCACGCAAAAGCGCCGCGCTGCCACACAAAGTGCCACAGAGCCCCGGGCGACTTGAGCCAACCAAGCGAGCCACCAGAGCCAGCCCAGTGCCATAACCGCCATGCAAAGTGAGCGTCGATGTCACCAGGTGCCGCAAAAGGTACGCCGATGTCACCAAGTGCCACGCCTGCCACACAAAGCGCCGTGGTGCCCCGGGCAAACAGAGCCGGCCAAGCGTGCCACCAGAGCCAGCACACTAGTCGCCCGGGGCGCCGCGGCACTTCGTGAGTCCATCTGTTGAGAAGCCGCTTCGACTGGCATCAATCCCTCGGCATATCCACCTTCCTGAATCACCGGGTTTGCTGCCTGGTTCCAACCACTTCTCTCATTGCTCCGCTTGCGTTTCAGCTTGCGGATTGGGTCGTAGCAATTTCGCTATCTTTGAAAGGAAAAACACAAATATCACAATCACGTCCTCGTGTCCCATAAATCTATCGATGGAGAATCAAGTCAGTTCCTACGCATTGAGATTTTCACAATCATGTTGAGTCAATTGAGCATCATTGGTTTCACCAGCACTGGCTGCCACACCTGTCGGGCTGCTGGCAAGTTCCGCCGGCGCGTTAAAGCTGCAGTGACGCGACGTGCAGGACGCATGGCTCCTGCAATTGGAAGTCCATGGGTTCAGCGCACATGTCGTGGAGAAAACGGATGGAGGCACCAACAATAAAGGGAGGGTATAGATGGGGGTGTAGCTTCATGCCTATTAGTATCTCTGACTCTGTATCACCCACATTTTGATCATCATGCCTTTGCGAATGGGTCAAAACCCCATGAACTGTATGCCTGAAAAAGAGGAATGGAACAAAAACGGTGGATGCATTTCCACCTGGGGAGTGGAACAAGATGCCTAGCTGCTCGGTTTTGTACATGGCACACCAGTGACAATCCCGCTTCTAATCTGGTGCCATTCAAAGCAAAAAGGAGCAGACATAAAAAGCAACGAGACGACCAGGTGTTCACGTTTGTCGATCGGCAGAAGCTAGTTGCAGCTAGTTAACTCTCAGTGGTTGGAATGGTACAAACGAGAATCTCCAAATCTCCACTAATTACCAACTTGTTCGAGAAGCGTGTTGACTCCAACACACCCCAGAGCTCACATCTTAAGAGCTCCTCAATTGCAAAGAACTTGATCCACGGGCGTGAAGTAAAACCAAGTTGGGAAGTCAGACCCGACGAGAAGCGGCCAAAATGGTATATAAAAAGTACACTCCAATCTTGGAATGAATTGCATAACCTTCACATGTGTGCCATCTCCACTTCATGTGCCCTTTTTGAAGCTACAAAGGCCGGCTACACTGGTGACAAGACCTGCCACACTGCTTAGCACCATGCACTGGAGTTTTCTGCGTGATGCGCCAGTGAAGCTCAAAGCTTGTGACACGTCCCTGGAGCCATAAAAATAGCAGCGCATCTTTGGCACAGACTGGCTAGCACCTAGCATGCAGCACACACCCTCAAACATTCGACTCTTGCACGCTTAAAGCAGAAGTGTAAATGCAGACCAGCGTGTCTGATCTGATGATATCCCCCTGTTGCCACTTTAGCTCCTAACCTCAGTTTTGCTGTATAGTGGTCCAAGACTGACAAATTGAAGGCAAACAAATACTATAGACCATAATGTGTATATATATATATAGATATGTGTGTGTGCTGTGGCTATATATGATGTTCTTTTCTGTCGGAATCTTGGATCACAATATGTCCCAATTCTGGAAAATACTAATTAGATCAGACTAGATCCATGTAATGTTTCTGTGAATTTACATGATAATCAGCAGGTCCCAAGGTTTTCAATGCTGAGCCAACCTGCAACGATGTACGGCCCCACAAACAGGTGATAAAAACAAAAGTCTAGGCCCGAATCTTGCTCCGTGCTGAGCAGAATTTTGAAGAGATATTGGGAGTTGTGGGAGCTCCCTGTGGGAGATTGTCGGCCTTTCAATCCCAAACGGTCCAAACGTCTCACAGTCTTCTGAGATCCATGGCCAACCCTCCAGGACGTCGTCTTTGTCCTTCTCGAGTCTACGAACCTACGCTTAGTGCAGGAAGTTAGTGCAACAAGGAATTAGACATGGCATCGTCAATATTCGCCAATCGCTGTGTGGCATCTTGTCCTTCAGCCAATCCATGCCAAGTCAAAATACGGAAAAATCAAACGACTACCAGACTACCAGTGACTACCACTGAAAATCACAATGAAGTGACATGTCAAGCAAGTTGTTGTTCCTCCCCTCACTAATGTTGAGTTTTAATTAACTGCCAGACTTTTAGTGCCAAGGAAGGCCTCCTGTTTCAGCTTGATGACCTCCATCTCCTTTGCCTCCGCACAGTGAGAAGCAAACAGACACTCCAATGACCTCCAATCTGGTGCATCACAGGACTTCACGGAGCCAACTCGGCTGGACACCTGCACTGTTCATCAACCTTTCAAGACCTCGTTGCCAGTGAGAGAAGTTCAACCAGGCCCTCATCATATATTCAAGTTTTACCTCTTATATACCTATATACATATACTTATTTATGTATATTTATTTATTTATATGTATATTTATGTATTTATCTATTTATCTATCTAGTTAGTTAATTAATTTAATTAATTAGTTTGTTAGATAGTCAGTTATATAAGTTATATCAAGTTATAACATAGACCCGGGCAAGCCGGCGGCGGAAGTTTCCCAAACATAAATGACCTATAGTTCAAAGACAACCTGTCCCGACCGTGTCCTTCCCTCGACACTCCACACCTCACACTGCACACTGCACTCTTCGCACTCAAACTTCAAACTTCACACTCCACACTTCACACTCCACACTTCTCACTTCTCACTGCTTCCTTCACACTCCAAACCTCACACTTCACACTTCACACTTCACACTGCACACTTCACAGTCCACACTTCACACTTCACACTTCACAGTTTCACACACTTCACAGTCCACACTTCACACTTCACTTCACACTTCACACTTCACAGTCCACACTTCTCACTTCGCATTTCACATTCACACTCCACACTTCACACTTCTCACTTCTCACTGCTTCCTTCACACTCCAAACTTCACTTCACACTTCACACTTCTCACTTCGCACTTCACACTCCACACTTCTCACTTCTCACTGCTTCCTTCACACTCCTAACTTCACACTTCTCACTTCGCACTTCACACTCCACACTTCACAGTCCACACTTCACACTTCTCACTTCTCACTGCTTCCTTTCCACTCCAAACTTCACACTCCAAACTTCACACTTCACACTTCTCACTTCGCACTTCACACTCCACACTTCACTCACACTTCACACTTCACAGTCCACACTTCACACTTCTCACTGCTTCCTTCACACTCCAAACCTCACACTTCACACTTCACACTGCGCTCTTCGCACTCCACACTTAAACTTCACACTCCACACTTCACGCCCCACACGTCCAACTGCTCTAAACTTACGTGCAACAAAAAAAACTAGCGCCAAAATGGAGAAAATCATAGGGCTTTGGGTCTGATGTCTGAAAAAAAAATGGCCCAGAAAGTCATACATTCAACAAACCACAAAACTCCAACCCATGCTGCACAAGGCATTGAGAGGATCTCAGTGAGAGCTTGCATTGACTCGCTCCCATGACAGCTTTGTTTTTTCACATGTATG